AAAACAGAAGAGAAGGAGGCTAGGGATAGCGACAATAGCAGTAGCGGTGGTAGTGGTAGTGATTGAGGCATTGTTTACAAGAATGAGTATAAAGAATGCACTGAATAATGGACATTCAATGAGTGATGAAGCAGTGATAAGTAGGATAGCGATGGCAGCAGTGGCAATGCTAATGATGCTGAGTATGATTTTATATGTGAAGTGTGCAAATAAGCCTGTGTTGTATGACAGATTGATGATAGGAGGAAGTGTAGTGATGGCGCTGGTGATGAGAGCATTGAAGGGTATATGTGGAGGAGAGAATATGAATGAGTATGTGAGAATGAAAATGAGATTAATTAATGTGGTGATGGTGGTGATGAGTTTGGTGATGGCAATAGAGAGTCTAGTAGCGGTTATTAATAGTAGGAATAATAACCGTAATAATATAGATAGAAAAGATGAGAATGAGAGTAATGATGCAAGCAAGAATGCAAGTGGAATAGCGAAGAATGTGATTGTTGTGGTGAGTACGTTTGTAATGGTAATTACAGGATGGGTGATAAAGAGGATGGGTGTAGATGTGGATGTGAGTAATGAAATGCAGCAGTAATAAGTAGTAGTAATAATGATAGAGATATGAAATGTGGAATGAGAATAAATGAATAGTGAATAATTGATGTATGATAATAGTGTATGAGAGAAGAAAGCCAACTCATTAGTGTAGTGTAATGGGTTTTCGAAATGTATTAGAAAAGGTACCATCGTTGATACATATGCTTTTATGTCGTTCATACCCATCCTTATTATCTGCATGGCATTAGCATCGCTACTTAAGCTTCTTTTGCTAGCACCTCCTTTACCTTCCTCAGTATTGCCTCAATGTATGATTTCATAGCAGCTTCATTCTGGCCCGTCATAATATCTCTGCCGCTAAGATTCGTGTTAATTCCATACACATTCTCTATAAAGTTCTTCATTAGGCCGCCATACTTACACAATATGCTTGCTCCATCACTATGTGTTAACTTATCATTTACATGCTGCAATATGCCAACCATTTCTTTGCCAACACTTGCTTGCTGTGAATCTGTAGAGATCGCTTTTATGCAGTAAGCAACAGCATCAACACACAGGGAATTGAATAATAGTAGTCAAAATACAAAATTTAAACGAAGTAGCACATTTAATAGAAAAATCAGAGCTCTTCCCTTCCCGTTTCTTTTTCTTCAGGCACAGGCTGTGATGGCACCTCTTCCACTACAGCTTGAGCCGGCACATATCCCTTCATCTCATCAACAAACTGCTGTAGTTTATACTCAATCTCAACCCTCGACAAGCTCTCTTTGTTTTTCTCAAGCCATAACTTCATCTTGGCAATATGCTCGACTGCATCTTTCTTTACCTCGTCAGGAATCCTCTTAAAATCTTCTCCTTTATCAGTAATATCCAAGATATACTCAAATCGCTTGATAACCTCTCTCTTCTCTTTCAACTCCTTGTTTTCCTCACTATACAATCTCTCCTCCATCCTTTTGATATCCTGTGGAGTCATCTTGGCAACATTTGAGTCAAACCTTGCATCTTTCTTACTTCCGGTCTGCTTGTCTTCAGCACTCAATTTAATCTCTCCATTCGCATTCATATCAATTGTAACCTCTATCCTTGGACCTCCTTTCGGCTGATTCCCCGGAAGATCAAACTCAATGTCCCCAATATATACATTCTCCTTAAAACTCTCCATTCCTCCTTGTGCAAGACGTATTCTGACCTTTGTCTGGTTGTCGCTTGCTGTAGTAAACTCTTTCGATCCCTGCGCTGGTATAAACTCACCCTTTGCAATAATCTGCTCAAAATGATCCTCCTCCGTGCATATTCCAAGCGAAAGCGGAATACTGTCAACCGTTTGTATCTTCTCATCATCCCCAAGCATCCCAATCTCCCCTGCCGTATGTAGTGCTGCTCCTCTCGCAACTATCGTGTCCGCGTCTACTCCTTCATAATGTATCTTGTTGGCTCCAAATATCTCCTCCACAATATCAATCACCTTTGGAATCCTTGTAGACCCTCCCACAAGCAATACCCTATGCACTGAATTCTTATCATATCCGCCGCTTTCTTTCCCATTATTGCTAAGCATCTTGTTCATCACATTCCTTATCTTCACATAGAAGCCCTCATTCAGCTCATTAAACTTCTCATTCGACAATCTCAACTCAATCGACTTCTCCCCTTCATAAATAAACGGACTACTTACCATTTCATTAGATTTCCTTCCAGGAGACTCACGAACCTTGTTGCACAGCTCAATCTTCATACCCTCCACAATGTTCCTCAGCCTCAGCTTCACGTTCTGATTATGCATCACATCAAACCCCACCTGCTTTTTAATGTAGTCTGCAAAGTAGTTCGTCAAATTGTCATTCACATTCTCTCCTCCCAGATAATTGTCCCCTCCATAGACCGGCACTAGCATCAGCCCTTTAGACGGCTCAACAATAGAAACATCAAACGTACCTCCCCCAAGATCAAATACACATATATTCATCTCATTAAAGTCGTTGTCATCCTTCTTCAAAACACCCTTCTTGATCAAGTCATGCGTGTATGCAAGCGCTGCTGCCGCCGGCTCCTTCCATATTTTCGGTATAGGAAACCCGGCCAGCTTTGCAGCTTCTATTGTTGCAGATTGCTGGTTCAAATTGAAATACGCAGGAACCGTAATTGTCAGTCCTTCGATCTTGTAATCCTTCAAAATGTAGTTCTTAAGCATGCTCAGCACATAGCGCGAAAGCTCTTCAGGCGTCACAGACTGATACTCATTACTTTCCTCTTCCTGCAACTTATATGCAACCCTTCGCTTTCCACCAACATTTTCAACAAATATAGGAACGGACGCATTATTCTTTATCTCTTCAACCTTCGTGTCAATGTTTGACAGGTCATCAATACCCATAGCCCTCTTGAATGCATAGAAATACGTGTTTGCATTTCCTTTTTCATTGTATGTGTGCATCCCAGGCCATCCTGCAACCGCCTCATATCTCATCTTCCCTTCCGAGTCCGTCTCCTTCTTAAAGTTCACAACAGACGGCGACGTCTGCTCTCCACTCTCTGCATACACAAACTCAGTGTCCTTCGTCGACGGCTTCCACACACACACGCAGCTATATGTGGTTCCAAGATCTATCCCCACTGCAACAGACTCTCGGAGATCAACCACACCATTTCTCCACTCATTATACCCTTCCTTCACTGGCACGTCACAAAAAATCATCGCTATCCACAGCAATCCACCAATCATACCCCTCATCCAACAAACAAATTTATATACCAGCTATCCAAATTCTAATCAACCCGAACTTTCTAGATTTATTCTGTCCATATTAGGAAGTATATGTTCATAACAATATAATCTTCCATCAACACACTTACACTTCATGATCAATTCCACTAAAACTAAACTACACTTTATTCCTTTACTAATCAGCCTACATGATATAGCACAGTCTTGGATACTTTGTATTCTCGTCGCTGCAATCCCTGTGGCCCACATAAATAAGCTCCGAATGCCCAATATACCTAGATCCATACACACATCCATTCTCAAACACATAAGGCTGGTTCAGATCGTCCATAACCTCTTTGCTTCCTTTACAAAGCAGTATGCTTATTTCATGCTTGCTAAAAAGCACATCCTCTCTCATCCTCAATGCTGCACAGCAACTAGGGCACCTTTCATCCCTTGCGCCCTCCTCTTCGTCAAAACACTTATGAGTCTTGTATGCCATCATTCCATATTCTATTCTTCGCATCAGCCTTGACTTCTCTCCTCGCTTAACCAGCCTCAGCATGCATCTGCAAAACCGTTCTGCAACTTTCCATTCCTCATTTCCTACTCCTCCATTTCCAAAGTCTGCTCCAAGCACAAGAGCGGGCAGATACTGCTTTATATCTCCGTGGATCTTTATGAACTCTTTGCTAGCAAACTCCAATGCTTTGCAAATCTCATTCTTTCTGCACATCAGCAGAAACTTCTGCTTCTTCAGGTCATTCTCAATATGCAAGCTTTCGCAATCCCCAAGCCTCCGCAGCTCAGACCTGTTTTCCTTGCAGAAATCCAGTGCTTCATCATACTCCCCTGCCTCAATCATTGCCTTCATTCGATACATTCTCCGGTAAAAACATCCCTCAGAATACTCCTCAATCTCAAATCTACGTGCAAATGCAGACGCACTCACAAAATATCCATTGTGCTCAAAATGCTCCATGATAAAAACAGGCAACACATCACAAGGCATCCTTCGGGTTGCCGCCGCTTGCACACACGCCTCTACCTCGTCAATCTTCTTGCTCATCAACTCCTTCAACTTATCAAGCTTATTCACGTAGTCTTCACCGCTTATTTCTCCATTCCTATGCATTCTAAACAATCGATCAATCACTCTATATCCAGATCTCAAAACACTTTGTGCCCTCACATCCTGAACCCTTCTGAAACTCATCCAGGCTCTCAACAACGACACAAAATATCCAAGCATGCAAACAAATCATTTATTTAGACAAAGCGTATCACTCAAAACCCACCTTGTGCAGTTTGTTCGCCACAGAAAGATACACGTTCTCATGCACAACCTTACTTATCCTATCTCCAACACTGGCCTCTTTGTCCTTAATCCATTCGTCTCCATGCTTCCTGTATCTCCTCAAAATAACCACATCCTCATCAGCATGAGACGTCACCATCACAGAATCCTTTGAAAAAACATCTATCACATTCACATCCTCAACTAGCTTCTCCTCACTCGCTCCGTCCTGCATCTGAAATCCAGTCACTCCATTCCCAAGAAATGACACAAACAGCATCTTCCCTGACATGCAAAACGATGCAATCTCCTCGTCCTCAAGAATCCACTCTCCCGTACCAACTTTGTATATTCCACGGCCATCCAACAAAAAAACTCCTTCTTCAGTTTCCTCTATCTGTTGGATCATCCCGGTCTTCAAGCGCCTCAAAATCCCCGCCTCCGCAACCTCAACAAAACTCCCATCAAAATACATAAATAGCCTGCTTCCATCAAGCACAATATCCTCAGGCACATTTGCCACATTCACGCATTCCCTCTTCTGCATCAAAAACATCCCTTCTCCATCAATCCGGTACATCTTCATAGTCCTCCCTCCATGCATCCTTCCAGACATTGCAATTACACATCCGTTCGAATAGAAACAGTCTGCTCCCTCAAAATACCCAACCTTCTCAACCTCCTCCAAATCAAGATCATACAAAAACACATAACTCCCTTTTATCACCACAAGGCTCCTCTCAGAAACCATCTTCTCGTCCCGCAGAAACACATAAGGCATCACAACCTTCGTCCTTTTCACATTCTTCTCAAAAATCTCCCTTCCCGGCTTCTCCTCGTCCTTTGCATTCTTAGCCCTGAAAAGCTTGCAATACTCAAAATTCGGCAGTGAGTAAATCCTCCCCCTCTCCGCCCCGGTCTTCATATCATAAACAACCAAACTAAACGCCGTCAGCACATAAACACACTCCCCCTCATACACAAAATCAACCGCATCCCCATTAAAAGACGACAACATCATCCTCTCATCCCTTCGCGTCTCCAGCCTTGTAAGCCTCTTGTTCTTGCTGACTACAAGCAGGCTCTCCAGAGGCGTAACAGCAATCCCTAAGACCGCATGCGAGTGGTAGTGATACGAGAGTCTTGCATCCTTCTTGATAACTTGTATGGTATTTGCATTATCCACATAAACTATCATTCCGAAATGCACTATAAAATACTTAATGCTCACATCGGCCAGAACCTCCTCAGCATTTCTTGTACCAATGTCAAACCTGATCAAACTCTTGTTTGTGTTGATATAGAAATATCCCTCATCCCAGAAATATGCACCGGATTGAAAATCAAACATCATCTCATGGCTCTCATCAAATCCAATACACCGGCCCATTCTTCGCACAAGACTAAATACCCTTTCTTCATGCACATGGAAATCAACAACATTCTCTCCATACACTTCAACTTCCTCCAGCGGCTCGTCAAACAGATCCTCATACACCAGCACGCTTCCTCGAGTCAAAAAATAATATCTTTCTCCATATCTCTTTCCAACCCTGAACTTATGGAAAGCTCGTGTTCTGATCATCACTAGCCCGCTCTTCTCATACTCCTCCACCATCTCCTCCCTTATCTTGTATATAACTCTATCACAGACAAATATCTTTCTGTTATCTCCGTTTAACATCTCAAGGGCCACAAATTTTTCAGTTTCTCCAAGATCATACAACTGCTTTAATTCACACTACACAATCTATGCATCTTGTACACACCGATCACCAACACTCCCTATCAAGATACTTACGAATCACCGGATCTGCTTTCAGCTTGATTATGTCCTCAACATACTTCCTCGATATCATAAACTGCACACTCATCCTTGCCATCTCAAGCGAATCAAACCTATCCACCTCAGACAGTGTCTCACAAACAAGCTTTCTGAATCTTATGTCGTTCTCCAGGCTGCCTTGGCTTAGAACAAGCAAAACCCTTGCAATAGCATCATGCTCAGATGCAGATTTGAGCATCAGCAGCATATGCTTGACCTTCAGGCCTGCATGCTGCATCTTCAGAATATGTGAATCATTAACACCTGCATGCTTCTCAAAAGCTGTTCTAAATCCATGCATTGTCTTCAGCCCAATTGTGTTAATCAGTCTTACCACCCTGTCATTCGCTTCTTGTCTTTGCCTATGAACCATATCCTCACAGGCTTCACCGTTGCTATCTTCTTGGACTACTCCATTACTACACCTCAAGCCAAACCATCGGTGGCTAATCGCTATAATCTCTTCATTCATTCTTATCAGGCTTCTCAATACACTCTTTTCTACATCAATCCTTGCTTTCAACTCACGCCTGCATCTGGCCTCCTCCAACGTCCTTTCTAAATCCTCCAATGCATTCTCAAGGCCATAAACAAGATCCATCTCTCCAGCACACTCTACTAATTTATTCACTTCGTTTCAAAACTAGCAAGTGGCGTGGACCGCTCTAAAACATGCATCACAACCAAAAGCACCATATCAATTTTTATTCTTTCTTTCTTCCAGGACCATATCGTTGTGGCGTCTTCCAGACTCATACTCCTCTCCAAACTTCACCGAATCCTCCTCAGAATTGAACTTCACAACAAACAGCTGCTTCTTGTCCCTCAATGCATCAGACTCAACAGTATCCTCAGTGGTCATCCACATCCATCCATTCATCATCTTCTTGTGTGCTTGTGCCTTCAAGCCCGGATTGATGTAATGGTTGCATCCCAGCCTCCCAATCTGCTCCCTGAACACAACAATTCGTACAAGATTGCTCTTTGGGCGCTTTCCAATAATCATCGTCCCCTGGGCACGCTCTTCAAGAGTGTTCGTCTCCTTCGCAAAATAATACAGTTTGCATTTCGCCTTGAACAGCACCTCATCTTCTTGGTTCTCATCAAGATACTTCTCCTGCTTTTCTATTATGCTATTCTCATCAAGCTCCTCCTCCGTGCTGCATGCCTTCGGCTCCTCCTTCTTGGGAACAGAGGTCGTTAGAAACGGATTCTCCTTTCCCGGCTTTGCCTCCGCTACATTACGCACATCTCCACTCACACTCATCTTCAGAGCTTCCCCATTCTCATTTACATTCTCAACTTCCTGCTTCTTGCCTGCTTCCTCTTCTCTCAAGCCCATTCCTCGGAGGGACCAATATTTCGCACAAAAATACTCTTCCAATAACCATAAATTACTTTAATCTCTGTAGCATGCTCCTCCGAAAAACGGACTATGATTGCCCACTAGCCGGAACGGCCTTTGAATCCCATCCCCACTTGCTATCTCGTCATACTCCAGCACATCATTCTCATAAGACCCCAGAGAAACATAAAAGGAATTCATCAAAATAGACTTGATCTTCATCAACTCGGTCTCAGCAAACGATGCAACGTCATTCACACACTTCGGAAGCTGCCTTAGAGAAATAATCGGCAGCTTCAGATTTGCATTCGCAAAGTAATCAGAATACACGCTTGAGTCGCAATTGTACAGAAGAACAACAGGCGAGTTTGTTTTCCTCTTCTTAGTCGCCATGTACAGCCCGTCCTCAAAGTCCTCAATCTGCCCCTCACACCTGTCTAGATCGACACCCTCAGGCATTGTTGCTTGGACCTTCGCATTAATTACAAACTGCTTCTTGATCCCGCTGTCAGAGACATATGCATCTGAGTTCGCGTGCTGGTTGATTATCGCTTCTAACTCCTTGGCTGTATCATATACAATATCATCAATCGACGAGCCTATACTGGCATATCTCTTCCTTGACTTGTCAGAAACAAACACTGCAATGTCAACAACCCTTTGCGAAGATGGATTGCCATGGTAGTTGATAACCTTGACGTCCTCGCCGTTATATGTACTGAAGCTACTGTCGTTACGGTAATCGCTGCTATCATGGGAGTCATCGAGGTAGTTGTAGTCAACACTGCTCCCATTCATGTATTGGTCGAGCTCCGCTTGGTTCTGCGCCAGTCTATTGCTTGTTTCTGCTCTTACAGCCAGTCCTGTTATCAAGAGTGCCAAGAAAATTCTGCCTCTGAACATATCCTTGACGCCGCCAGAGTGTATTTATTCATAACCTGAAACCCGATATGAGGCAATGTGTTTCACATGAAGCCGCAGCTCACAGATTCATCGCAGGCTTGATATGCATATAATCTTGCATTCATATTGCATTGTTGCTGACTGCCATCTATTCTATCGAAATATACTCATGCTACAGTACAATTGCTTAGTCTTGCCTATCTGCATCCATCTTTTATTATTTATGCTGTGCATGGCTGATGCGTAGCCACATTATGTATCAGCGTGTATATGATGATTTGAAACATCACAAACAATGTAAGCCTGCAGTACGACCATAAACAATGAAAATCCTGCTTCTGCTGCCATTTGTATCCATGCAGGCGATCAATCTGGTTCTGCTGTATGAAAAGCCAGGGATAAAGGAAGCCAGAGATATGTATCGGTATGTTGTGGAGCGAATGCTTGACAAATTCAATGCCCACTTCCACCAGTATGGAACAAAAATCAATCTTTTGGACTTCATGGCATATGACGACTACCTGACGAAGCCAGAGTACCAAAGCATATCGATCACTGGCGGAGACGAAAGCCTGGATACAAGAATAGAGGCATTGAAAGACATACCTGCTAATGTGATTCTTGTTGCATCTGCAAGTCCCGACGAGGAGCATGAGAAGTATGTGTCCGAGTCTCCGTGCACAAGCAGGTTTGTTAGCAACATGGTTTCGAGTGATGTTCTTGAGGACGAGATGTTTACAAAGATTGTGTATGCAACACTTTCTTGGATGCGCAGCTTTTTTGGCATGGATGTCCCCAATCCAATCAAAGAGAAGAATCCGGATGTTTTTGATAAGTTTGCACGAGATGTGAATACAAATGAATTTATGAAGATGCTTAAGCAATGCTCCAGAGATGCAAGCGAAAGGTTTGAAGTGTTTTCCAGGGCGCTGAATTGGAATAGCCAGAAGGGATTTGCAATAGATGTGGAGGCAATTGATGCAGCAAAGGAGAAGGGAATTGAGATATCGAGTCCGCTGAAGTTGGAGTCGAAGCCAGAAGGAAAGCAGCAAAGCCTGAGTTCCAAAGGGATATCTGTGATCGGAGGAGGCATTGGAGGGCAAAATAACGTTGAGCCGTTTGCGAACGAAGAAGAACAATATTATAGAGAAGACTCTGTGCATAATCTGAACAGAGCAGCAGATTGGAACTTGGATATGAATGTGAATGGCATGATAGATGGCAAACAGCTGGTTTGGATATCAAAAGGAGGAGTAGATTCTGATATGGGTAGCGAGATTAGCGTGAGCAACTCTCCAGGAGGTGTGCATGCAAACAGGCTATTAGAAAAGCCTGAAAGAGTTTTTCATAGAGTTGATGCAAAAGGCCAGGAAATTGAAAGCGAAGAGGCATTGATAGACGAGAAGATCCGGAATGAATTACAAAGAATCATGCAGCAGGAGGCTGATAAGACAAACAGGCAAAAACCTGATGTGGTAGTTATTCCGAAAAAAACAACACATGTTATCAAAACAGAGGAAGGGCCATCAGCAAGACTGTTTTTTGCAAGACGGGCAGTTCCTCTGAGGGATGGCTTGAGTGCAGGAAGAAGAAGCACTGATCAGGGAAGAATCGCATATAGAAGGCCAAAACCCTGATTGGATGAGCGTAAGTTTAGAAACAGCGAGTATTTTATTAAACCAGATGCAATTGTCTAGAAACATGTTTTATCTTGAAAGGCCAGTCTTAGGTGTTTGTATATATGTATTCTGTGTGGAATGATGAAACACGATGTAAAACGTTAGTGAACCTGTTTCGTGTGGGCGCAATAAATAAGAATGTATGATAAATAAACAATGAGGTGCAGGCTGTTTGTGGAAATAGCAGTGCTGCATAACATTGTAATGGCTAATCGTATGCTTAACTTATTTGGCAGTAGAGATGATGCAGTAGGAATTATTAGTGATGTAGAGAAGACTGCTGGAGATCTTAAAGATAGTGTAGACGAGCTCGGAAACAATGTGACCCATTTTACTAGCATTAAAGATGATTCGAGAAAAGAAGATCTCCAACACATTAAGGCAAGGCTGAACCAGATAGAAACCGAAAGAGATGAAAAAGAAATAGACAAAGACAATCAGCGTATTGTGCTGCAGAAGAAGATAAGGAGCATCGTAAAGGAACTGGGCACGATTGCAAATAGGCTAATTGAATACAAGAATTCACTTGGCGCATCAGATACGATGAATGAGGATAATTTGGACGACGAGCTGAATTTATTGAAAGATAAGCTTAACAAGCTTATGAATGAGCAAGGCAATCAAGATGAAGACAAAGACGAAGACGAAGGATACTTAACTGATGCTGAGCAAGAAGGAGTTGAAGAAGAAGCTGAAGCTGTCAAATCTGATAATATATCAAGCAGTAATGGAAGTAGACGTGGAAATGGAAATGGAAAGAGCAGTGAAAGTAGAAGTAGAAGTAAACGTAAGAATAGGAGTAGACATAGGAGTAAGAGTATAAATCCTGAGCAAATCAACGATAAGGATTATGGAACTAATAGCGAATTATCTTCCAAAAACAAAGTATAAAAGCAAAGTGCTTACAATAATAACTATACTAAAGAATAAACAATATTAAGTTATTTGTTATTATAGGATGTTTGTATAAGCATAGAGCAATGCATATGCATATGTGGCTTTCATGGTTATGAAACACTGAGCAGGGAAGCTGAAACACAGATGCAATTAAATGGATCCAAATGCGCACAAACAATGAGAGGAGTGCTATGCGTGGCTCTGATATATTTCTTTAGTATTGCCAGTGGTGATCGTGCAGCTAATGATAATAAGCGCAAAAGAGACAGTACTGTCGATGATTATGACAATGAAGAGGGGGAGAGAGAGGATTATAAGTATGGTAGGATTTTTATTAATATACAAACTAAAGAACCAATCAGTATCCGTACTACCACCACAGATACTGATGATGGAGAACAATATGATGATGAGTTCTATAACCGTATGGATGATTCTGAAGAGTATTCGCGTGGAAACCCAAAATCAAAAGCAAAAGGTCGTAATAAACAGCAGAATAGCTACAGTGATGAATTTCTTGATGGGCAGAAAAAACGCAAGAAACAGCTATCAAAAAAGATGATAAGGAATGAACCGAGCAATAGTAAGCAAGAATAATAAAACAAATATTATGCTATTCATACAACATATTGCTCAAATATTGCCTACATCAAAATCACTCATAGTTTAATTTTCCTAAGTTTATTCTCTGCGATTTGTGCGATATTATATTTACTGCGACTTCCACCATGAAAAGTCGCTGAATGTATGGTCTATAAACGGAATGGTCTTGCTAGATAAATACGGAAACATGCTGTCCACAAAGTCATTCATTGTGCGGTATGTCCCAGACAATGTCTTCACAAGCTCGACATGCAGCTCTCCTTTATGATTGATTGTAAAAATCCTTGACAGAGGAATCTCAAGCGCCTTGTATGTGATGACATCTGTGATTTTGTTTCCAAACCCCGCAACAAAAGGATTCGTGCCCTTGAAAAGATTCCTTATTGTTTTCAGGCATGCAATCTTGAAGTCCTCTGGCCGTCTTATAATCAGCTCTCGGTAAAGGGCTGCAAACACCCCATCAGGAGATAGGATCACTGGCCCATCGGGCAGCTTGCATCCATCCTGGCATATGCTCTTGAGATACGACTTTGTGGACGACGACTGCTCAAGAGGTCGTGCCGTCAGATACACTATTTTATATCCATTCTTCACTATCTTCGTGTATAGCGATGCGACTCCGTTGTGTGTCCAGTCTTTCCCCATCATTCCATACACATGCCCCCACACATCACTCTTGGTTATTGTTCCATCAATATCAGACACTATTATTTTCGAATCACTTCTCCATAAATATATATTCCCCTCCAATTGCTTATCCAGCCCTCCTATCTTGAAAACCACTTGATTTCTTCCCTCGTTGAGATTCAGCATCCGGAGCTCTGCAGAGTCAAGCCTCAACGAAAACGACACATCCCTCTTGATTATCTTTTTGGTGCCAAATATGTTCCATCCAAGCGCTCTGTTGTGCTCATTCTCCAGAATCTTCATCATCCTCTTTGCTTTGTTGATCTTCAATCCCCGAATCTCAAAAAACATCTTGCAGAAAGTGTCATATGGCAGGTAAAACCGGAAGTTGCATTTCTTACATCCTTGGACTCTTGCAACAAGGTTCGCTGTGTTTGAAACTTCGTCAACAAGAAACATGCCAAATGTAAAATCCAACGAGTTCTGGATCTTCTTGCTGTGGCACAAAGAAAAAGATACGCTTGCACCCGTACATCCCTTGCACTTCTTGTCACACATTTTGTTGTTGAATGGAGGATAGAGATACAGGCCAGTAAAAATATGCAGAATTGATCGGTATCTTCCTATCAAAAACTCAAAGTGCTCTGCAGAGCTGATCAGGTATCCAAACTTCACAAATTTGTTTTTGAAGCCAATGTATGAATCGTCATCCTCGTTGCGTAGCGCCCTTCCATGCATTCGAGTCTTCAGGTTTTTGATTCTTTCCTTCTTGAGATACTGCTTGAATTCTGCATCTTCGATCTTCAGGCTGTTTTCTTTGCACTGCAGCATTACATCGAAGTTCATCGTATACGCATCAGACTGTTTTCCAAGCGAAAGGTTCTCAAGCCTCTTGTTCAGAATCAGTTCATCATCTGAGTCAAACATCATCATGAGCTTGTTGTTGTAGTCAAGCACAACATCGTAATCCGTCACTGTCTCCTCTTCCGTCCCCTTTTCAAAGCACAGATCTCCCTGGTTTGTTATCGACATTGTTATGTCACACATCTTCCCATTGACAAAAAGATGCACCACCTGACTGTTTGCCCCGTAGAAGTACAGCCTTCCAAACCTCAGCTGAAATTCCGTGCACTTCAGGCACCCGTCTGCCCCTTCGACAACAATTACGTCGTTGACACCACTGAGTGTGATTGGGTTGATGTTGTTGTACAACCCAGAAACAGATGTGATCAGCTTATGAACTATACCCATGTTTCAGGGCTTATGCAACATGCATTTATGCAATAGCACTTGATAATGATTAGCTATGCATTTGATGTATATTGTTATCAATGAATATGATGCGAAGTGGCATTGCATAGCCTGTGAATGGTTTATTTACAACTCAACGTGTTTGAGCAATTCTCGAAGCCCATTCAATGAACGAAGACGGCCCAAGGCTATCGAAGCTCAAGCTTGCATACAAGAAAGCAATCCAGGAAGTGCTGAAGGAGGAAAGGAAGATAAGGGAGATTCTTCTTGATCCAAACACGGTTGTTGAGGACTCTTTCTTCGTCAGTAACTCGAAAGTCGAAGAATCGTTTGATGAGCAGCAGAGTATGGATGAAGATGCCATAAACAAGGCAGTAAAAGAAATATTCCTTGGCCTCAAATCAAAGCTGTCCGACACATTCAAAAAGAAGGTGTCCGAATACAGCATTGCAAGCAAGCTAAACAATCTAGACAAGGAAATAGCAAAGGAAAACACATACAGCAAAAGCATAACCTGTAACGAATACATAAAGGAGATCTTTGAATCGTATCTGGTAGATCCGAAGCTAAACTACATAAGATACATCGAGGAGGCAAAGAAAGAGTCATCAGAGCGCATCAAGGCAGCAAACAAAGCAATGGAAGGAATTAACGAAAGGATTAGACAGCTAAAAGAAGAAAACGCACTTTATGACAAAGCTTATGATAGCTTGACCATACATCTACTGGAAGCCATGGAAAACAAGAGCATAATTGATATATGACCAGTGCAAATATTATCACTTTAATAAAACTACAATTTTCCTGAATAAATAGATGTATTCATGATTTTATTCCTTACTTCGTTAAAATATCCAGGACTGTCTTTTTGATATCATCGAATGCTTCGTGTGTCCTCACACTACAAAACACAACCAGCTTCTTATTTGGCCTGATCTTGCTCCTTGCAATCTCATTCTTAAGTGCTTCGTCATACAAGTGTATTCTTTCCTCTCCTTGGCTTATATATATGAATACATGCGTGCTGATTTCGAGAACCTTGATGTCCGTGTCAATGTCCTGCACCTTTGTTGAAAAGTCTATGTATGCCGTTGTTCCTTCTTCATCATGCATTCCATGCCCTCTCCAACAATATTTATCCAAGTTCCACGTTTATAACTTTGGTTTCATATCAAAACATACAGGAAGTCAAAGCTCCCAGGTACACGCCATTTCATAGCGATTTCCTTTCGTCATCAATGTCTACCAGATAGTAAGGATACAAAAACACCATCCATGCTAGCGTAAACACATCCAAAAACACCTCAGATAGAACCCTCACCTTGCTATATGTCCCATAAATCCCTCCATATATAAAAAACACACCCTCTGCAAAAAAAGATACTGCAATCATAATGTAAAACCTGGATTTTGTTATCCTTTTCAAAGACATAAGCCTTGCAAAGCTGAGCAAAAGCGTAAGATGTGCATACGAAAACTTCATGCTCCTAATGCCATCCAGAAAATCGATGCTTTTTCTATTATTAACAGCCAGCATGTACATGGCTTTGATTGCTGTGTGTGCCACCAGCCACTTAGGTAGTAGTCCTGGTTTGTTTGTCATAGTATCAGGGTGGAAATGCACAGCGATTAATTTCTCATGCATAAAGCCTGCAAATTAATACGTCCTTTGTTTTCATATACGCAGGCACATAACACTTAGCCGCGCAGGCCATGAATGAGTTATTCAAGCAAAGCACGAGCAATATAGCCTGCAATCGTATACACAGCATATCTTCGTTGTATTTCACATATCTCAACACAAATGCAGCCACATTCATATTTGTAATAAAATTTATCCCAAATGGCTCAGAAGCCTCTAAAGAAGATCAAACTACAAAAGAATCCTACAAAGTATAAGAAAGCATCCAAGAAGATAAAAACAGAAGAGGAGCTGATAACCAAAGAAATCAATAAAGGAATAGTCGAAAAGTACACTTCAATGAGCAGAGTAAGTAAAAGACACTCGCGCAGATAGAAACTTGTATTGCTAGGCACACTTCCATGCAGCCATATCCAACTTTCATGGCATACGTAGCCAGCTATACCACAGAAAAATTACATCCTTGCAATAAACAACTTTATTCCATTGCACTAATCTTATTTATTTTGGCTTTCTCTCTTTGCCTTTCGTCTCTGTGCTGCTTCGTAAGACTCATGAATGTTCTTTAATGAGATCTTTAGTGTGCTCGGAAGGAATCTATGCCTAGATATTCTGTTGATCTCCTCTACATCCCTGTACTTGCCAATCAATGCCTTCGAGTACTCGAGATTGTCCTTCTCTCTCCTACTCATCGGGCCTGGGCGAATTGATGCATGGCTCCTCCACAACCTTATCGATCCATCATCACTTCCAGAAACAATAAACTGTGAGTCATGCGAGTACTTCAAGCCAAACACATTCTGCATCCGCTTTGCATAATACACATCTCTGCTCTTCCTTTCGTCTATCTCAAATATTCGTATTGTCTTGTCAGAACTTCCAGATGCTATCTCAACCCCAAGCGGATCAAATTCAACTGCGACCACAGCATTCGCATGTCCTCTGTAAACCCCGCATGTCTCCTGTAGATACCGTATGTCATGGTTGTACACACATCCATCTTCATTCGCAGACACCAGGATATGCCCGTGCTTTGGATTGAATGCTACATCGTTCGTCTTTCCTGCCCTTATTGTATCTATCCTTGCTCCAATCCTACTGTCCAACAGTGTAAATCCTTTCTGTTGCCCAATACAAACAACATTCGGCATCACCGGGCTCGACTGAATGCAGTACGAATGCTCTGTCTTTACACACTGCTTCTGGCATCCTCTCTCAATATCAAACATCTCAACACCCATAAACGTCCCTGCATGCACATCTTCACCAATCTCCAGGCACACAACTTCAGACTTACAGGCATAATTTGTGCCACCGTCAAGACACTTAACAAAGGTACCCTGCCCTGCATACAAGCATCCATTCAGATCCATTCCAAGCCCCTTGACAGAATATTCACAATTGTACTCTCTGCTTGCTGCTTTCTCGTTCATGTTCCACACAAACACTTGGTTATCAAAACTGCCTGATGCAAACACAGGCCGGCTGGGATGTCTGCACAGAACATGGATTCCCTCCTTATGATAAGAAAGCGCAGAGATAAATGGCTTGCTCATCATCCTGTCAATCTTCGTTGCATTCAGTGCCCGTACAAACTCCCTTTCCTTCATCAAAGGATGATACTCCTCATTCTTCGAGAAATTCACATACCGCACATCCTTCTTCCGCTCTTTCGATATCTCATTTGGCTTGTGGTATATCGTGTTCACTTTCATCCGTGCTGGGGCCAAGCAGTTTCGAATTCTTGTTGGTATTGCATCCCTGCATCAAATGAACAAAGTGTTTGTAAGTAACTTTCCAGAGTGCTACTCTGAGGAAAACATAGAAGTAATCTTCAGTCCCTTTGGAGAGATAAAGTCAATAAGCATTGTGAAAGAGCCCAGGGTGTTCGCAATCGTTGAGTTCAGAACGCCTCAGCAGTGCACAGTTGCAATCGAATCCATAAAGGGGAGAAGGCTATATGGATGCACAGGCGCATTGCAAGTGGAGCTTGCCTTTGATAGAAAGAGAAGGGTTGTTGTATCTGGAGTTCCATTAGGCACGCATCAGCACGAGATTTCAGACTTCTTCAAGTATTATGGCGCTGTGGAGAATGCCATGCAAAGTAATGATGGCCTTGTAGTAGTTGACTACTCGTTACAAAAAGATGCAGAGGATCTGCTTGCATTAGACGGGAAGGTTTCATTTAACCACAGCACTGCTAAGCTGTCAATTAAGCCGTTTGTAAAGAAGGAAAAAATCGACAGAACCATAAGTCCCGAAAGATGCATTTTTGTATACAACTTACCAGCCAAAATGACCAGCACAGACCTTAGAGAGTCGTTTGAGAAGTTTGGATGCATTGTTTCATCCGGAGTGCTGAGTGGAGGAAAAGGATTCGTTAACTACGACAGAGAACTTTCTGCCTTGAAAGCCATCAGGCATATGGATGGAAAGAAGATTTCTGGAAGAAAGGCCAGGGTGGTGCTGAAATCTATGAAAAAAGAGCTTCCTGGTAGCTGATCGACACAATAGAATAGTTTTATTACATTTACAGACATTGGTAGATGCCTTTGCTTTAGAGGTTTGGTCTTGTGCTCATATCACTTGAAGCGCTTCCGTCGTTATCGCATTCATAGTCTTTAGGGTAGCATTGCATCCTATGATTGTAGCTTCTGGCTCCATGATCATTTTCCTGCACAATGCTCGGATGGTGATTCTTGTACTCAAGCTCAGCATGGACAGGCTTGTATGCTATGCCTGATGTATACATGTCACAAACCTGATTGCATGCCATCTGCTGATGATAATTGTAGGTGTTGTACTCGCCAAACAGTATGTTTTCTGGAGGACTGCTGTATACCTTGTGATATTGGCTGTGTGTGTCACTGTAAAGATCGTTGTATCCTTGCATGGGGATTTTTGTATTAAATCCGCTTTGATAGCATTCCCTGCTTGTATGCTCCGGATACTTTCCTCCTCTTGTGTACGCAAGGCATTGACTGCATAGATTAATGAATCCGCTATTCGTTTCGAAGGCTGGTAATTCGCGATTGCATGATATGCATGTGCTTTTCTTCGGTCCGTCTTTGATGGTTTTGGCTCTCGCACTAGATACCATGGAATAAGGTCGTGTTTTTCCGTGGAGTTTTTGATATAACCCGCATGCGTTGCATAACAAAGACTTTCCGTTGTCGCCCCTTCTCCACGAGGGAGTGCTTGTGGTTTGGCAATTCGAGCATACTCTCTGTTTAGCCTTTCTCCTGAATTCCTTAGCAGTTGAGGCATTGATACTTTCGTGTACCTGTGTAGAGATCTGCATGCTAGCCTTGCCACAATCATTGTTTCCCGGCTGTAGGCCTGCCTCTACACAACTAAAGGTATTGTCTTTGATGCATTGACTCATTTTATGCTCTGCAATGCTGATACTGTTGTGTTGTACTGTATCTTTATCAATACTTGCAATTGATGCAGGGCATTCGACTTCGGAATGACCATCCAGTCTAGCAGGCTCTTTACGGTAAGAGTCTCCACCTTCTTTGCCCGGGCATGTCATTGTTTGTTTCCAAAGCAATTATTATATAGTGAAAATTCACCTAGATATTATTTGTAGATTAATATGACGAGAGTTTAATTGTGATATATTGGGCACGCATGCAAGTTCAGCTACTCAGCATTGCATGGAGTGCCGAAGGATAACTGCAGATACCCAGCACGTATTTTGCATCTCAAACAGAAACATAAAACCGGCATAAAACAGGAGGCAAACGATTCAAAACAATTCAAATGGCAGCAAAGCTGAACAGGGAGCTTGCTAGATATGAGCTTGAAAGCTATGCCACCACAGAAGTAGAGGGAATGCGGGTTGGCGCCAGGCAGGCTGATGCAATTGGGAAGATGGCACAGCTTCCAGAAAAGAGCTTTGATGATCTTGTGCTTGATGTTGTCAATGAAATGCATAGGAGAAAAGACATGCCGCACCTACCACTTGAAAGCGTAATGCAAAAGAAGCTGTGCAAGATCAAGGAGGAGGGATTTAGGAGCCTTGTTATGGATGTGCTGGCAGTGTTGTCACAGAAGTCATTTGACGAGGGCAGCCTATCAGGTGATGTGAACGGACTAATTGACAACATTGACAAAATGATAACATCGATTAGGAAGGATATGGAAAGCGAGGAGCGATCGGTAGAGGAGATATGTTCTGAAGAAGACATAGTAAAGAAAACATGCATGTTTATATCGCATGTCAAGCACATTCTGAGTAAAAATGGAGAGGACACGTTTCTTGCCGAGCACATGATGGATCGGTTTAAGATGTTTTCTGAAGGCAAGAGCACTGATGGGCTGAAGATGTTGCTGGACATAGATGTTTTTCTGAAGAAATGCAACGATCTTGGATACGAAAAGAATGAAGAGTACAAATACCATAGAGACAGCATAGGCCGGCTGATACATGCAAATCTCGATTCTGGCTTGAAAAAGAAGTTGATTGCAGAGGAGGCAGCAAGGATATACTCGATTGTTGCGATGGAGAGTACCAGATTGGAGGAAGTTGCAGAAAGACACATGAAATTGAAGATTTATGAAGTGGTTGAAGTGTTATGCAGCATTAAGAAGGATGTGCAGGCAGAAAAGGATGTTGATGTGTGTGCATATGCAGCATGCATAGCAAGAATATCAAAGGAGTTCATCGAGCTGGCTGTAGAGAGCGATTCTAGAGATCAGACCAGTGTATTTGAGCAGCTGAATCAAAATGTAAGCATGCTTGAAAGCATATCTAAAGGCGAATGCTATGATGAAGAGCCGTTGTTTGTGATGCTTTCAGTCGTTAAGCTTGTGAAGATGGTTTTGACACAAAGATGCACAGGACAACCGTCAGTGTGATGATTTGAGTTGGGACTGTGCCTGCTTATTGTACGATGCCTGCTATCATATGCCATGATTTCTGGCAGAGCATAAATAGAGATGAGCCTGAACAACATGTTTGACGGAGTTTGCATGGAGAATAAAACTTTAACTTACTTTAGATTTATTTTATTCTGGGTGCCTAGAGAGAGAAGCTTAGAATTGCAGAATGGCTACCTTGTTTGTAAAAGCCATCAAGCTTTGCGTTTCTAATTCGATGATCGTCCGAAGATATTATGATTGCGTTGTCTTCTTTATAGGGCATGTACTGTAGCTCTATGGTGTTGGGCGTTGCATCGTTTTTGACTAGCTTAAGGTTGTCTGAGTTTGTAAAGAACTCGAAAGCCAGTCCGCCTTTGTCGTCTTCTCTTGCGACATACGATAAGCTTTTGTATTCTGGAAGTGCATCTGAGGATTCAGACTTGTCCACGCGAAGTGTAGTACCACCGTAATCAAAGACCTTTTCAGTGACGCTCAGCCTGTTGATCAGCTCTTTTCCACAGAAGACACCGATCAGAAACAGATATATCATATGCTCGTATGTTGCATGCTTATTATATATTTGCAGTGGATTGTTTCATAAACTGATGAAGCAGTTCACAGATATTAAACATTGTTTGAAATGCTTATGTGTTACAATTACAACTGGCTGGGATCCTGCCCTGAGCAATGCAATTGACAGAGAAGCATCGTCCTACGTCGCTGCAGGAGATTGTTGGCAATAGAGAGGTTGTGGAGGCGCTCACCTCGATTTCATCAACAGGGATCATTCCACACATGCTGTTCTACGGCCCTCCAGGAACAGGAAAAACAACAGCGATCCGGTCGATTGCTAGCAAGCTGCCAAAGACAAGTGTGCTTGAGCTGAATGCAAGCGACGAAAGAGGAATATCTACAGTCCGGGGAACAATTAAGGAGTTTGCATCGACCTACTCGAAATCGATCAAGCTTGTTATTTTGGACGAGGCAGACATGATGAGCAGAGATGCACAGAATGCACTTAGAAGAATAATTGAGGACTTCAGTGCAAGCACAAGGTTTTGCCTAATAGCGAACTACTCGAAGAGGATCATTCCGCCTATTATATCGAGGTGCACCAAGTTCAGGTTTGGCCCTGTAAATCAGGTACAGCAAAGGATAAAAGAAATATGTATGAAAGAATGCATCAAGTACACCGAAGAAGGAGTTGATGAAATAGCAAGGCTGTGCGGGGGAGATATGCGCAAGGCCGTCAATGACATCCAGGGTGTCTACTCGTCATTCGGCGTGGTTGATGAGCAAAGTGTTCAGCAATTCAATGGAACGGCACCGAAGAGCGTGTATCAAAGAATCCTTGACGGTCTCATAGTCATGAGCACAGCGAGCCTCAGAGAACTGCTAAGTAGTGTGATATTTGAGCATGGACTGGACTGTGCCGATCTGGTGTCCAATCTGTGTGACATTGTGAGTGCAAGCAACCTCAAAAACAAGATGAAAATACTAAAGGACTTGAGCGATGTGGAGTACCGAGTATCGATTGGCTGTTCTGAAGACTTACAGATAAATGCAATCATTGGCACATTCATACTTAACAGAGACGATTCCACAATCTTATAGCTATAAGCTTAATACCATAACAATATGATAAACGTTTATTATAACCTTGGCAAAAATACAAAATACACTTCAAGTAGCTAACTTATCTCAACTTATCTTTCAGACTTCATAGTATGAAAGAAATCCAAATATCTTACTAGTATATTTGCTCTTTGGAATTACACTTACAATGGTGGCCGTTGCAAATCCTATAGATGCAACAATCAGTGCCATGCATATTCCCAGTGGTATGTATATTGCAATACTTCGAAAGCCTGCCAATATCAATGAAAACGTGCTTAGATAGAGCATAGGCAGAAGCAGCACACATGCATTTATAAACACCGGATACCTTATGCTGCAGAGGCTCCATACGATGTGTCCCAACAGCAAAAGGGGTTTCGTAAACGATGGAACAGCCTGTGAAATAAGCCCAGCAAATAATATCAATTTCCAAGTCTTTTGGACCAACATTTCCTTCTTCCTAAAGCCATCGGTCTGCCCCCATAGTTTCCAATAGCATATCGAATTGAGTACAGACAATCCTTCCATCCCAATAAAAATGCATACAGGGATAATCAAACCCTTCTTCACAACACCTTCTATATACAGCATGCAATTGAAAGCATGCACAATCATAATTACAACCTCCGTTGATGCATACGTCATGATTTTAAGTTCATTGACGAATCCACATACTCCATGCAGCGATGAAATCGATCTTATTGCAGGAACTATGCTTGCTGCCATTCCTACTCCAAACGGAACGCTCATAAAAGCACTCACACTCGTATTATGTGCAACTAGAAATGGCAGTGCAAATAACGCCACAAGATTTGTTACAAATGCAAAAAGATACAATAAAATATTGAATCTATCAAATATTCTTGTGATTATGTATGAATCCTTGTTGTGAAGCAGAAGTTGAATAGACAGCTCTCCAAACATGTTATAGAAACTCCTCTTGTGATCATCCTTCAGGATGGCATATGCTTTGTTTATCTCAGCAAAGTTGTCCTGGTCCATTATATCTTGATGCCGGTAATACTGTCTTGCCAGGAGACGATATGCATGCTCCACATCCTCCTTAGACCCGTTCCTTGGAATCCTTAGAACATCATATAAACTCATCGGGGGGCTCTGGCCTTTGAAGTTAAGCATTCGCTTTTGCACAAAAAACCGCACCCACATGCCAAAGAAGCATATACAACACGCTAGAAGCGAGCATAAAGGTAGAATAAGGAGAACCAGAGCAATATTTGGGCATAAGGCAATAGACCAAATACAGTTACAGATGGCATCTCAGAAGCCCATCCCTTATGATCCAGAGCTTCCCGGCTGTGGACAGTTCTACTGCTATGAATGTGACAGACATTTCATTTCAGAATATGTGCTCAAAGAGCATAAAAGAGCAGGCCCGCACAAAAAAAGAGCCAGGGAGGTAAAACAGGCTGCGCATTCTCAAAAAGACGCAGAATGGGCGGTTGGATTAACATAAACACCAAATGCATATTATAAAGAATCTGCAATTAAAATCGTATCAGCATACATCAAAATCAAACTCATCTTCGCGCTCAATCGCTTGTGTAGTATCTTCATTCTCCTTTGAATGCTTAACACCAGATATCTCCTTTCTTCTTCGCACCTTTTTGAACGGAAAAAGGATCCGTGCAACATTATAGCAATTCTTTCCAATAAACTCAACCATGCCGCAGAAGTACATAGTTAGAAATCGCATATGCAAGCATTTGTGTCTGCAAAAAACACGTTCCCACTCCCGCATCAAAACAAGAAACGACGGCTTATAGAAATATCTTTTGTCAACATCAAGATACAATCTTGAAAGAAGACACAAAATCATCCTGGCGTCACAGTCTGAGAAACAGGATTCATTCGCATCTTGACTAAGCCCATTATCACACATCATGCTATCTTCATTAAAGCTATCCCTACATTTCTCCTTTGCATTTTCTAGCTTGCACTGCTGTAAGCATGCACAGTCACTTCTGCAAAACTCTAGAAGACCGAATATCTTGCGAATCCTCAGCTCTCCAAAGTGCCTTTTATCAATCTTCCACTCAAAAAGCTCGTAATAGTTGTAGATAATCAATGCACACTCCATCACTACACACTTATCTTTGCTTTCCAGTAGTTTGCATATCTCAATCATTAGATCCGCGTCCTCAATTTTGTCCAAGTGCAGCACTGCAGAGCTCAACCTACTAAGATGCTGCAGAGTCTTTCTGTACAATCTAATTCCAAGATAATTCCCTGCAATAACCAGCTCCCTCAGTTCCTTTGAGCCATATATTGCTGAGTAGTCCCAATCACAGAAGTTCAATACATGCAGGCTCTTCTCAATGCCTAGAGAAACTAAGTCAAAAAAAGACGTGTTATACAGACTGTCAAACACATCCTGATGCAGCTTAAGCCCCCTGATATGCATGGATGGTGGATCCCTGAACACAAATACATTGTCTTCCTGAAAAACAATTTCGGGATCAAAATGTCTCCGTCTTAGCTCATACATCACATCGTCTCTTCTTTTCCTGTGGCACACATTCTGTGTATTGCTAATCCGATATGCAAACAGCACCGAATACAGCCTTGCTGTCTCCTCACATACTATCGAGTTCAACAAGATAAAAAATCCCGCATCATAAAGCATTTGAGCAAACATTAGGTTTTTCCCAATCGCCTGCTCACAGATCTCAATAATACCATTGGGCTCATCCAGTAGCTTGTTCAACAGCTCTGACATGAAATACCCCCCTTTAATGGTCACAAATGAACAAGGTAGCCCAATGGAAGGAACACCCAGCATCTGCTTGCCGATCTCAAATAGCTCGCCCCTGCATTCCAGATTGCCCAGTAGACAGATAAACTCCTTCTCTAGAAATCCCCATTCCCCAAGAGCATTCAAAAGGCCCGGATCTTCTTGCACAATCGAGATGATTTTCCTCAATATCTTTCTACACTTTGGCGATGGCTTGCATCCATCCATAAGTGATTGCTTCAAAATAAAAAGAGCTTCCTTCATCTCGCCAGTTGCCATTACCGGGCCCCATTCGTGCAAATTTTACACCTCCAATCAACCCATGTAAAGCCAACTACAATGCAATATCCATATCATATTGTACACCATTACACCTGTATAAGCTCATTATCTCACATCTCACATATTCAATGCAAAAAACCTTTATTGACTCCATGCATCCAATCATTCATACTCCACTGCCATACATACTTAGGCAATAAGTAATCGGCCATCAAGCAGGCATCAAAGCATAAACATGTAGAAACACATCTTTTCAAATGCATAACACAGTAAAATGTCCATCACAAGCACTGTGTAAACAAAATGCTTCAAATCTCCCATCTCCACAACCTCCATCTTCTGCCTAAGCTCACTGTTGCTTCCTGAAATCAGCTGCTGTATCAAAAATAGCAGCATCAGCAGGCATCCAAACAGCTTCTTGTTCTCAACCAGGCTTTCTCTATACGGCCTACCTATATAATTCACGAGAAATGTCGAGATTTGCTGCGTAGTGGACAGGAAAAACAGTGCAGAGTTCATCAGCGACGGCGAAAACTTCTCGTGGTAAACAGGCACCTCAATACTCTTTATCTTTCTTATCATTACAAAAAACGACGCAATATGCACAAACACCTGAAGAATCACAGAAAATACAATATACGGATTGATGATGTTCGTCAGTGGTCTTTTCTTGCTTATCTCCTTCAACGGCTGGCTCTGTGTCAAAAACATAAACGCAAATCCTATCAGCAGCCCTGATGCAACAAGCTGTGTCTCTCCATATCTGACACCCATGCAGTCAAGCACACTCAACGAAAAGGCACTCACCAACGAGTTCAGTGCAAGAATCTTATACATCTGCACCGTAGTCACCAGTGCGCTCCTTCCATACCTTATCACATCCAACACAGATTCTAAAGATCCGGTTTTTGCTGTGAACGGCGCAGCTACACTTGCATCTCCAAGCCCCATCTTTGGCTCCGCAAGCTCTTTAGACATATTCTCAATCGCTTCCTGCCTGCTTATCCTTCCTCCAACACCCATGCCGTTTCTCTTTGCTTCCTTCGCACTCGTTTTGGAGACAGACGCCGCCTCCATAAGAGCTATTCCAACATGTGCACTCTTCAATGCACCAACATCATTCGTCCCATCTCCACACATCAGTGTATAGCTCCCTGCATTCTTGTATCTTTCAATAATCTTCTCCTTGTGTATAGGATCGGCCCTCGCAAAAATCGATATGGAAAAAAAATCATCGCGTTCAAGCGCCACATCTATCTCCTCTCCTTCTACTGCTCTCCCAGATATCCCTATCCTCTTCGAAACATTCTTCGCTGTCAGTGCATTGTCTCCTGTTATCATTACAACCTTGTGCCCAGATGCATAAAGTGCTCCAATTGTTTCCTTCACATTCTTCTTAAGCCTGCAATCAAACAGTAAAAACCCTGCAAACTCAAGGCCTCCCTCAACATCATCCCTATCATACTTCTCCTTCCTATCAAAACACTTATAGCCAAGCGCAAGCACTCGATATCCCTCGGACGCACTCTCCTCATACTCATCATACCACTCCGGCACATTCTTCAAATACTTCTTCACCGTCTCTGGTGCTCCCTTCATTCCCACAAACACATTTCCATCAAGCTCCGCAACCACACTCATTCTTTTCGTCTCAGACGAAAACGAATACGTCTTTATGCAATTGTACTTCCCTCCAGCACTCATCCCTTCTTTATTCATATATTCATAAACAGCAACCTCCATCGGATCTCCTAGCACCTTCCCATTAATATTCAGCAGCGAATGGCAGCTTGCAAGCACATCAGCCGACTTTGCCGTTTGATGCTTCATTCCAGCAACATCCATAGATGTTTCCGTCAATGTACCTGTCTTGTCAAAGCAGCACACATTCACCTTCCCTGCATACGGAATCCTAAAAGGTTCCAGGCAATACACTCCCTTTCCAATCAACGCCCTTACACACCCATTCACTGCCATACTCAACTCCATTGGTAACTCAGTAGGCACTACATTCGTAAGAATCAAAATAACCTCAAGAAGCAGCTTGTAGTTCGACTTCCCAAGCTTCTTTCCCTCACAGTACGTGTAGAACGACGCAACAATCGCAAACATCAAAAGCGCAAAAATAAACACAAATGCCTCCTTATCATTCACAGTCACCTCCTCCGCACACATCATCTTGCGCACAAGATCTCCCTTCTCCGTCTCAAATCCAGTGTGCAGCACAAAACAAACAAGCGGCGACTTGCCCATCATAACTATATCTGTTCCTGCATAAAGGATGTGCCTCTTGTCCTTGGCCCTGTCAAACAGCTCTGCAGATCCTCTTTCGGAAATATCCTCCTTCATCAGTGGCACTGACTCTCCAGACAGCATTGCTTCATTCACTGCACATCCTCCCTTGATCAGTAAAAGATCGCATGGAACATTCACCAGAGAGTCAATCTCAATCACATCGCCAGGAAAAAGCTCAGAAGACATCATCCTCCTTCCAGGCGCTTCGATCATTCCCTTCTTTGATTCATACGCCAGCCTAACCTCTACACTCGAATGGCTCATCTTCTTGAAGCTTCTGGCCGTCACCATTCTTTGGAACACAAGCCCAGACTCAAGAACAACAAGCATAATAAGACTGAAGATCGCCTGGTACACATACTCATCAAGACACCACAGCAGCCCAGAAAACACCTGAAACACAAAGAGCGGCGACACCGCATGCTCAAAAAAAAGCTCCGAAAACGTGGGAGGGACAATATCAAACTGATTCTTCTTGAAGTGGCTAAGACGGCGCCCTTCAACAAACTCCGTTGCTCTGTCAGACCATCTGGAAAAGTACCCAAATGTCTTTTTTGTGCTTGCCCTCAGTCTGATTACCTTTCCATCCTCCAGCATGTATCCAGACTTCTCAAACTCAAATGCACCATCGGCAAGCTTGCAGAGCGTTCCTTCATATAGTATGTAATCTCCTTTCTTTGTCTTGCTTCTACTCATTGAAAACAGTATTCTGATCCTGCTAGACCAAAGCGCTGCAAAAAACATTCCTCCAGACACGATGATCATAAGCACTGCTACTACCTGTACATATGAAAACACCAGAGACAGAGCCGGTATCGCATACAGTGGAATCATCTGCACTCTTCTATGCAATGGCTTCTCATTGTATATCTCATACATTCAAGGGCCGCATTTTCGTAAAATTAACTTGTTTCTGCATCACCATTACTAAACAATGCTTTAATATAAAGACACATCTTCACCCCAATATGTTTGATCCAACAACGCTCTACGGAGGATCTATCTTAGCAATGGCCGGAGGCGACAGTGTGGCAATAATGAGCGACAGAAGACTCGGCTCAGGCGCCATCACTGTCTCAAAAGACTTCACAAGAATACACAAAATAGGGCCCAAGCTGTTCGTGGGCCTTCCCGAGTTTGTTCCGGACACACAGGTTCTATTAAGAAAGATACGCAAGAACTACAATCTATTCAAGCTCGATCATCAGAGGGAAATGGAGCCTCAGGAGCTCAATAGCCTGATTTCATTCATTCTATACTCAAAAAGAGCCACTCCATACTACACAAGCCCGTTGGTTGTTGGCCTGACAAGCGACAACACTCCATACATATCCGGACAGGATTGCATTGGCTCCTCTACAACGCCTGGCGACTTTGTTGCAGCTGGAACTTCATACAATAATCTTTTAGGTATATGCGAGGCACTATATAGGCCAAGCATGGACAAAGAAAATCTTTTTGTCACTTGTGCCCAAGCATTCCTTAACTCTGTCGACAGAGATGCACTCTCTGGTTGGGGTGCTGACTGTTATATCATCAGCAAAGACAGCGTCATCAAGAGATCAATTAAAGGAAGATGTGATTAGTCGTAACGCTTCTACAATCTTATTTTTGCACACCAGGAAATGCTTTACTTCAAATGCATTACTGCATCTATTACTGTTCAGAACCTGGCCATCAAGAAAATCATCCTCATAATTTTCAGACTTGATCAACCCTCGAGAATGATTAAGCTTAAGAGCCTCTTGCTGTACATGACAATACTTATACTCAAATCATACGACATTCCGTCCTTATGCTACAACTACTACAATCCTGAAAGCATCTATCAGCAAATGTTTTTGAAGCCATCAATAGTTCCAGCCGTGTACTACTTCATACCTAGAAAATACTTCATAGTCATCTCCTGTATTTGTGATCTACTGGTGGCATTCATGCTGAATTCAGAGAAATACCTGATATGCTCCATATTCTTTCCTGCAGATGCCATATCTATAGAGAATTTGCTGATTGCCTTGCTCAAAAAGGGATACAATGAATTGCCTGCAGCCATACTTACAAGCATGAACACATTCTACGCTCCTTTACTATCTGGTAGCAATGCATTCGTTCTCTCGTATGTCTTTCCGCATCTTTTTGAAGCTGAATTCACAAACTCACACAGGCCGTCACTAAGTGTCACTTGGTTCTTCCATCTTAATATGTTTTCCCAATATGCAAGGTACTTCTATGATACATTCTATGCACTGATGGCTTATATGGCTTTTACTGTTCCTGAAAAGTACAAGCTTGAAATCATACTGCTATTCAAACCATCAAACTACAAAAGCTATCTGCCCTTCATAGTGCACTCCCCAGTTCTTCACTTCTATTTGCTTTTCTTTGTTCTTGAAAACTATATCCAGTATCTCTTCAGAATCAGGGGAGTAGGCAACCCAAATTTCATCAACTGGTGCTGCGTGGCATTCAACTCACTCTTCATACTGGAACGAAGATGGAAGACATTGAAAGCACGGGAGCATTCTGTTCGTCCAGAGTCTGCAATCAAGAGCCATACAAAAACAAGTATTACAGGCAACAGCAGCTCTTAAGATAAAATTCAAAAATTAAAGAAAACTCCTTTAATACCATATATACCTTAGAATATTGCTATTAAAGGCTGTAGCAATCCAATTCGCCACCGCCTGTCCAAATTATTAAGAGGATTCATCACTGTCATCACTGTCATCACTGTCTTCACTGTCATCGTCATACTCTTCAGTATCATCAACACTGTCAGTATAATCGTTGCTGTTAACATCGTCAGTACTGCTTGATATCTCCTCACTATCTGTTATCACATCAGATTCTTCTCCATCCACTTTATTGTTTTTATTAGAAGACATGTTAGGGGCTCCTGTACTCAATGCTAAAATTTTGCATTTCTCCAGAAAAATCCGCCATGCATAATGCACATATACTTAATATGCAAGGTGGCAAGCTCGCTGCTTGTGCCACCAAGTATCTCTAAAACTACATACAAATCATTTCTACTTTAATCAATACTACTCTCGTCGCTTAACCATGTCCCTGCTGACTTGGTCTTCAATCTCCTCAATCAGCTTTTGATACTCCATTGCAGCTTTCTTGTCTTTGAGCTCAATCGCCTTGTCTCTCTTCTGTATCAACTCAATCTTCATGTGTGCTACACTTCGCTTCCGAGGATGCACCTCCTCCTTACATTTGATCATCTCCGTTATTTCGTCATCGCTCAGCTCCTTGCCCATCATCCTTTCCAGCTCGTCATAGCACTCTTTAACCTTCAATACCGACCCTATCTTGAACGTCCTCCACACATCTTCATACTCCTCTTTCAGCAGTGGCGAATTACTCACATTCTCAATCTTAAACCGTACATAGGTCTTCGTTCCGGTAAATACATCCAAGTACCTGTTTGTTTTCACCTCCTGCCCCTTCATCCAAATCCCATATACCTCGCCTTTGCTAACTCCTACTATCTTAACAACTACATACAGCCCATTTATCCTTGCTCTTGTAAAATGCCCCACAAACCCTTCAAAAAATGGCTTAAACACATTCTTTGCAATCATATCTCTGCTGACAATGCAGCCACAAAACTCCAGAAACTCACGCTCATCGCCATCCTCTTCCTTGCACACATCCTTGCCACCATCCTCATCCACCATCCTCGCAATTTCCTTCTTACCTCCTCTGCACATCTTCTCTTCAAGCTCCCTTTTCTCCCTAAGCTTTTGCCGCTCCAGATGCCTCTCATACAGAATCTCCTCTCGCCTTGTTTCTGGCATTTTCATCAGTGCCTCTCTATCCTCAGCAGACTCATAAAGCTCCTCTCTATCAAAATCCATCCCCTCACAAGACACATATCCTCTCTTCATGGGGTCGCCATTGCCTATCCAAAATCAATGCATATCTTAACATTCTACACAGATAGATCCTCTACCTCTCTTCCTCATTCATCCCATTCCTATTGTATTTCCTCTATTCGATCCTCTCCACTCCCTTTCGCTATCCTTCATAATCAGCTCCTCTCTTGTGTACATCTCGCTCGGCTCTGTGCCATCTGCATCTGCATCCTTCACCTCGTTTTTCATGCTGGCCATCAATCTGTCTGCAAACTCATCAAGGCTCATAGTTGGCTTGTTTCTCCGCACAAGCATATTTTCAGCTCTTCCAGACTCATCAATCCTTACACACTCAATACCCGCTCTATTGCTTGCTCCACACTCTTCTCTTCTCTCAGCCAATCCGATCTCAGCATTCAGATGCTCGATATTCTTCATCCCTACCACATAAAAATACTCAATAAGATTCATCACCCACTCCCTGTCCTCCCAGTCAATCACTTCAAATCTAAATCCCCTTATCTTGCTCTGCATCCTTATTCTTCCCTCACGCTCCCTCTTCCTGCATATCTCCATTGTCTCTTCAGGAACCAGCTTCAGATATTCGCAATCTGCACAGTATTCACTAAACAGCCTCAACGCATCTTCTTTTCTTCCAGCCCGATCGCTTGCTACTCCGTGCAAATAAGGAATCACACATCCCAAAATATCATCAATCCCCATGTCACTCAAGCTTTCTTCTGCATCAGCAGTATTCATCGGCAGCGCCCCACCATCAATCTCCCTGCCTTCCAGCACACGCACTATCAGCTCACGTATCATTTGCAGGGGCACATATCACATATCACATCAAAACCTAGCTCGCTTAATTCCTCGCCATTCAATTCGCATCACAGATCAATCAACACCATTTATTGCTTAAGAACACCCTCAACTTCCACTAGAACCTCAGATACCTTCTCATCAACCCCTCTGTTTGCCTCTAAAAACACTTTTACCCTCCTCAAAAACTCAAAGTTGCTCTTTCCCATTCCTCCATCAAATCCAAACGAGCAGTAGAATAGCGCATTCAAGAGAACCGGCTTTCTCAGCCTTCGCCCTTCTGTCTTCATCCCATACATCCTTTCACCCATCTCCCTTGCACTCTTAAGCAACGAAAATATCTTCAGTAGCTCCATGTGGTACTTCAGCAATTCATAGTCAATTATTAGACTGCTGCTTAGATCTGCCCTGTTGATCTCCATCCTCTGATTGCTGTAATCATCAGCATGCTTCTCTCCATCATACATGCAAAGTATTTTGGGAACATACGGCGACCTCATCCTTCCTAGTAGTATCATTTCTAGCAGCAGTACTCCAGAATATTCATCTAGATCCCCGCACACCACCATCTTCGGGCAAACAATACCTGCAAACCCATTCGGCTCTTTCATCGAGCCCATCCTTGTCATCATCTCTTCTGTCATGCACATCAAATCCGCATCGTCATTTTTCATCCCAAGAATCTGCAGAGCATCGCAAGACACCTCGTTCACAAACATCGCTTCATACATCCTAGGCGCAAGCCTTGCACCAAACATTTTATCTAGCCCCTTGGGCACGTTGTCCTCACTATAAGGTTGCACCTCTCCGGTGATCTTCATAACAGGATGGTATACCACAATCGCTACTCCTTGCAAAAAATGATCAGCATACTTCTTCCCTACACCTTCTTCGCACGATCTCTTGATCATCTGTATCAGATCATCAGACTCCTTGACTGCACTAACGACTCTTACAACAGAAAAGTCTTCTGCACAGCTCGGAAGCGTCGAGCAAAAGTCACATCCAAGAAGCAGCCCGGTAACCAAAAATTGCCTTGGCCCAAGCCCAAAAAACTCAACAAACTTGCTTTTATAAAGCACATTGAAGTATCCGTCGCTTGTAGACGCCCCAAACATATCCAGTATCACCTTCTCCACATCCTCAAAAAGAAGAACATCAGACTTTCCAAATGCATATGAACAGGCACCAGTGCTTATGAAATATGCACATTGAGCACTTGCTGAATACGGTGCAGTTACTGAAAACACACCGTTCTCGCCAAGCACTTTGTTTATCATGTCTGTTTCATATCCCATCTCTGCAAATCCTCCCCATGCTCTTCCTGCCCTCTTGTAGCCTCCTTGCTTTTGCAGACTGAATACATATTGTAACTGTGAGTCCGCACCACCCTGCTCCGCTATCTGTGGCCTTTGCAGCCTGATCCCGTCCCAAACCCATACAATATCTATGCCATACTCCCTCTTGAACTCAAAAAGCGGTGCCAGGCACTCAAGGACAATTTCATCCATCCCCATCACAAAGCCTTCATAGATTCTTGATGCATCTGTGTATTTGCGAAGAAACCAGTTCCCATCAATGCATATCCTCATTTTCTTAAATGCCTTCTGTGGAATCTTCAGGAGAAAATTCTGCTTCGGGTACGTCTTCAGATCATCCAAGCCTCTTATTGACATCTTGGGGTTGCTGCGATTCATAAAGAAGAGTAAGTTGGCAGCCACATCAAATCAAGAAAATGCACAAATGCAGCACCACATCATGAGTCAATGCACAACAATACAAACATGTGGACTTGCTTGCTGGGAGTAAGCATGAATGCATAATGGCATGATTCGGAAATAGCATTTGTGCCGAGGTGGTCTGAGTGGCATCTATGTGCTGTTATGCATCAGCATCTGTTGTATCATCCTCTAGCTGTACAGCGCAGTCACATGCATCGATGCTCGGCATAGCATGGCATGGCATATGTATGCATGCGAAAACAACCCTCAAGATGCCAGAAGATATAGTTGCTGATATATCGAAGCAGCTGACGATCATTGGGTCTGCAACGTGTGGAAAGACAAGCATTCTTACAAGGCACATAAAAAAAGTGTTTGGCACGGAAATCAGTCCCACCGTGTTTAACTCAGTGAACAACATGTATAAGCACCCAGGCAATACTATTGAGCTGCGCCTGTGGGACACTGCAGGGCAAGATGAGTATGCAAGGTTCAGGCACCTGGCGCTGCCATCAGCAGACTATATTGCGATTGTGTATGCAATTGACGACAGAACGTCGTATGCAGAGGTTAAGAACAACCTTGTTGGGCAGGTCCGCGAAAAAGCGCCGCTTGCAAAGTATTTCCTTGTAGGGGCAAAGACTGACCTGAGAGACGACAGCCAGCGACTCGAGGAGCTTGCGAGAAATGGCGATTCGCCTATATCTACAGTAGAAGGGCTAGAGCTTGCCAGAAATGTTGGAGCCGTGGGGTATTTTGAGTGCTCGGCAAAGAGTGGTGTTGGTGTTGATGAGATCTTTGAGAAGATCTCTGAGTATGCACTGCAGACACATCTCAAGGAAAGCAGGTCGTTTTTCGGAGGAATGTGGTCTTCACTGTGTGATTTCATCTGTTGCAGAGAAATAAATTGATTTTTATTGGAGCTATGCTTGTGTGCAATGAAACTGGAGAAGGGGGATGGCCGCTGGACGAAGGCTGAGGATGAAGTCCTGCGAGCAGGAGTGATGAAGTATGGAGTAAACAAGTGGTCGAAAGTGTCGTCGCTGTTTATGTCGAAGAAGCCGTCGCAGTGCAAGGCTAGATGGGATGAGAGTGTGAGTCCTTTGCGGGCTGACTCTGAGTGGAGTGCGGAAGATGATCAGCGCCTGGTCACAGTTGCCAGCACGTTCCATCCACAATGGGGATTGATAGGGCAGGTGATGTGTAGAAGCAGCCAAGCATGCTATGAAAGATACAATGAGCTTGCATATGGCAGAATTGATGTTTTTAAGTATGGCGAGCTTGAAGGCACAAATGGCGACGGGGATGGCGAGGTTCTGGAGATGGCACATGCAAGAATAAACGATTGCAGAAACAGACGAGAGCAAAAAAGAATGCGGAAGGCCGCTACAGCTGCGAAGAACGATAGCAACCACTGTAAATATGCCACATATCAGGAATGAGAGATGGTGTTTCCGCGAGTATTTAATGAGCAGAGCCACAGATCTGTGTCAGAGTGGCACTAGATGTTTTGTACGGCTGTTTTAAGTTGGAACTGTGAGCAGCCTATGAAAACAAAAGACAAGAGGCACCGAGTCGGATTGATGGGAATTTTCCTGTTTGTTCTACTGCTGTTGTCAATTGGGATCGATATTGTGTCGCTCAAAAGAGTTAAATTTGTTAGTGGAGCAGGCTGATATTTGGATGTGAGAATGCTCGGAGGATGCAAGCAGCTGAGAATACAAAACCAATAAAGAGGTATATTTTAGGAATCCTTTGAGAAAAGACAGTTGCTGGCGGTGTGAGAAACAATCATTGTTTTGAATGGATTGGATATAATCCTTAAAATGGATCTTCCAGAGTTGCTGAAGAACAAGATAATTGAGGATGTGTTTAGATCGCACCACAATGCAGAATGGAGTCTGTTGATATATGACAGCCATGCAGCAGCGATTATGAAGAACATATTCGTGAAGTCGGAGTTTATCAACCACAACATTGTGATTTCGCAGAGGATCGAGGAGCAGAGAATGCCTGTGGACTTTCCGGTAATATACTTTGTGAGGGGGGAGGAGGATGTTGCAAATACAATCAACAGGGACTTCGACAGCAAGATGTATTCATCCTTTGTAGTTTGCACGTTGGAAAGGTGCGAATGGTTGAATCCTCTGATAAAGACAAAGGTCGTGGATACGGATTTTGTTGCAGTTGAACAGAGAGTTTTCAAATGCAGCCCGGATCGGCTGTATTCAGTGGGCAAAACATTAAACTCGGTATTTAATGTAAGTTACAGTGGGTATGTGTGCAGAAAGCCAGCAGAGATGTTTGATGAAGCAGCACACAACGATTCCAGGAGGGGCGAGATGATTATTCTTGACAGAAGCGTGGATTTGTTTTCACCTTTCATGCATTTCTTCACGTTCAGGACGCTGCTTGAGGACTTGGGCGTTGAGGAAGTTGAAGTGTTTTCGCAAGAGTACATGAGAGACAAGATCTGGGAGAGTGTAAGATGTGTTCATCTTGGGGAGGTGAATGAGACGCTGAGGCACCATGCACACATTCTGTCGAAGATAGCACAGAGGCTGGATACAAAGGTGGACAATAAGGAGCTGATGAAGATGGTTCTTGATGCACCGGCCGCATCGAAGACAAAAGAAAGCCTGAGCAGGCTGATTAGAATGGCACAGAAGTGCTACAACAAGTTTGACTATCTTTCGAGGTTTGTTGGGATTGAGCAGCAGCTTTCCACGGGGTATGAAAGTGACGGAAGCAAATGGAAGATGAAGGTCGATGAGGTTTTTGAGCATTTGTGCAATGGAAGGATTGAGAAGCCAGACAGGGTTAGGATACTCATGCTGCTGAAAGCAAACGGGTATAAGCTGCAGGAGAATGAGAAGGAGATGCTGAAGCATGCAGGATTTACCAGCAAGGAGATTGGGCTTGAGTTTGAGAACCAAGAGCTGTTTGTGCCGTTAAAGGAGAAGATTGACCATAGATACGAGGTCAGTCGATATGAGCCTGTGCTTTCGAATGTGCTGAAGAGTTTTATTGAAAAGAAGCAAGGGCACATAGATGTAAGCTGTTTGACACATTCAAGAGCACACTTGAAGTCTTTACGCAAGAGTTATCTTTTGTCTGTGAAGAGGGATGTCCTGCATAAGAAAGTGTATTGTGTGTATATAATTGGTGGGATGACATTTGAGGAGATAAGGGTTGTATATGAGCTGAGTGAGAGTCTAGGGGTTGAGATAGTTATTGGGTCAGATAGGATAATAGTTCCGAGGGTTTATGCTGAGGAGTTAGCCAGAGAGTAGAGATGATTGGTGATGAATAAATGTGATGCATGCCAAAGTATGTATATGCTTTCCCGAAGCCCTTGTGATATTATGAGTGATGAGTCGCAGATGTTTTATAATTTGAGCGGAACAGACTGGAGTGGAAACGAGGTTAACTTTTCGGCATTTGAAGGCTGTGTTTTGCTGATTGTCAATGTGGCGTCTGATTGCAAGTTTGCTTCCATGAATTACAAGAATCTTACAAAACTGCTAAAAAGGTACTATGAGAAGGGACTGAGAATTCTGCTGTTTCCATGCAACCAGTATGGCAATCAGGAACCAAAGAGCATTGAAGAAATACACGGTGTAGTCAATGGGTATTTAAGAGGAGATGAGAGTGAGAATGATGCAGGGAATGGTGATGAAAGGTTTGAGCTGTTTGACAAGGTTGATGTAAAGGGGAAGAATCAGCATGAAGTGTTTAAGCACTTGACGAATGCCAAGAATGGCAAGATGATGTCGTTTATAACGCCTATTATGTGGAACTTTACGAAATTTCTTGTTGATCGTTCAGGGAATGTGGTAAAGAGGTTTCTAACTTTCCGCACAGTAGATATGGAAGACAAGGATCTTTTGAGATGCATTGATGGTGAATAATAGGGGATGAGGCATTTGCCGTAAAAGTATTGGTCTATTTGTTTACTAAAGCGGTTTGATCCAAAGCGGTAGTGATTGTGCATTCATATGTGGAGTGTGCTTGCATTGTTTGAATGTGCTTTTTAGATGAGAGGAGTGTAGGTAGCAGCATGTGCCTGTAAACGAGAGAGCAGTGAGGAGTGGAAGGAGTGCTTGGAATAAATAAAAAATTGCCTGGCCCCATGGATGTATGAATTCTATAGGCAGCTTATGGTTGGGAAAGCACTTCTAGAGATAATAGACGAAAAGGTAAATGCAAATGTGCTGACGCCTAACCAGGGGAAACGGATTTTGGAGATGTATGACTTGAGCGTTCCTGTGGTATTTAATAGATCAGTTACGAGTTCGATGAGCTTCAAAGGAAAGGTTGATTTCTACAACCATGTTGATGGGGTGTGGAGGTTTCAAACGAAAGATTTTGTGATGTCTCTGAACAATGAGTACTTCCGGGCAGTGGACGTAAACATTGTGGCTTGCGATGCAGACACGAATACTGATGCAGGACGAAGGAGACGGAGGAAGGGATGAGAATCATCTTGAATAAATGTTTAGTTTGTTGGTGGTTTTGTGAGTTTCTGTGCTTGTGCGGTGAGGGCAATAAGTTGTGTATTGAAATCAAGCCCTGAAAATGGATCAAGGCAATATGAACAAGTTCTTCAATTCGTCGTCGTTTTTTACTCAGACGCCTCAGAAGGACAAGCAAGGGCAGTATGGATCCACGCAGCAGCCGTCGATGTTTGGGCAACCTCAGCCTGGATACGGGGGTATGCAAAACCCATTTGCACAAGGATCCTCGAGTGGAGTGAAGAGCGGAGTGTTTGGAAGCTCAGCACCAACGTCGTTTGGAACCGGAACCCCGTTTGGAGGAGCAGGATCTGCGCCTAGTACAAGCACAGGGATGTTTGGACAGCCCTTTGGGAGCCAGCAGCCATTAAGCATACAGCCATCTGTTTCATCACAGCCTCAGCCTTCTCTATCAAGTATACCACGGTTTGGAGGAGCCAACACGTTTGGAGGGGGAAGCAATATGTTTGGATCTGCGAGCAATACAAACACATTAGTGCCTTCATCGTCTTCCTTCAGCACGCCTAGTGCAACGACTAGTCCGTTTGCGACGCAACAAAGTGGGATGTTTGGCCAAAATACACAAGCGCAGGCGCCTGCATTTTCGATTGGAATGCAACCCATGGCGCAAACTCAGCAGGCCAATCCTTGGGGACAGTCTAGCACATCATCGAGTCCGTTTGGAGGAAACCAAAGTCTTTTTTCGAGTGATAAGGTCACAGGCATGAGCACGGGGATGCCTGGATATGGCGCACGCTCTGGAACAAGGGATCATCAATATATGCAGAGAAAGATACGTGAAGACAATGGCGGAGATGTATCTCTTATTCACATAAATGGAAATGAGAGTTACATGCACAAATCTGTTGAAGAGCTGCGATCTGAGGATTACTCATTGGGCAGAAAGCCGGCTACTGGAGGAGTGTCGACCGATCCTCGTGGATATTCTGGATATGGAGGGATGTTTGGAACATCAAATGGCACAGCATCAGATAGTCGAGGGCAGATGCCAAGTACACTTGGATCTGGAACAGGGTCTGGGTTCCAGCCGTTTATTTCGACGCAAAGCACGCCGGTGCAGAGCATGCCTACATCAGGAGTGTCTGCTTTGGGCCAGCAGGCACCGGCATTTGGAGTAGGAGGTTCTGTATCGCAGCCTGTGTTTGCGCCTCAGCCAGCCAACACAAGCTTTCCGCTATCCCAGCAACCGTTGCCATTGCAAACCCCGGCCTCAACAAATGAGCCTGAGAATCCGTTTTTGCAACCCAGGGCACAGCCTCAGCAGGGATTTGGAATGCCAGCATTGAATATGCAAGCATCGACTGTGAGTCCGAGCATGAATGCATTTGCATTTACGCCGATACAACAGACGCAGCCAGTGCCTACACAGCAACTATTTGGAGCAATGAGCCAAGGTATTCCGCCTCAGGCCCAGCAAGGATATGGCTCTCAAGGATATGTGCAACAGCAAAAAGCCGATTTTTCTGATCCTTTCTTGGTGAAGAACATCAAGTTTGAGAAGGCCGAGAAGGAGCATATACCACTGAGCAAAATGTTTCCGCAGCCAATGTTTAAGGAGGACAAAAAGACGTCTCGGATCTCGCTGAGCTTCAGGCCACCTAAACAGCTGTCGAGGGAGAATGTGTACACCATTCCATCGATTGACGACATCAAGCACATGAAGGAAGTGCACAACCTGATCATAGGGTTTGAAGACAAGGGCAGAATAGAGTATCTTGACACGGTGAATGCATCTGAAGTGACGATGGCAAACATTCAGTTGAAGGTGTATTTCTCAAAGGACAGTGTGGTTGTGAATGATCCTGTTGGAGTGGGGCTCAATAGAAGGGCAAGGGTGTATGTTGAGGGAGTGTTTCCGTATAGCAGGAGTCTTGGAGACTACATCCGAGGAGAGCAAAAACAGTTTCCGTTGAAGGGGATACAAGAAAGGTTTGTGTATGGGCTGAAGAATGATGCAGTGAGGAAGTTTGTTGGATATGAATATGAAAGAGGAACGTATGTGTATGACGTGAATCATTTCTAATGGGATGATTAAAGCTTGGTTTTGAGGTTATGTATGTGGATGTTTGTGAAATTTTGGAATGGAAAGCCCTTAGGATGCAGGTGAGTTATATAGAGAAGAAAAGTGTGGATGACCTGGGCGTAAGTGCGCTTGTTGAAGACAGAGTATTTTTCATGAAGGGAGGATGGCTGATCAGCAAGTGTATTTATTCTTATGACGAGCAGAAAAAGCATCTAAAGATTGATGAGAAGGCTGATAATATGTGTTATGCAAGCGGATGTTTGCTGATAATATGTGGAAATGCTCTGCATAGATACAGGGTGTTTGGAGAAGAAGTTGTGCATAGCAGTAGTCATCAGCTAGTGGATGCGCCAGTGAAGATATTTGTGAATGCAGGAGAAGGAAGGAAAGAGACTGTCTGTTTTTTGTACAGCAACAAAAGGATTGAGGTGTATATGAATGCAGAGGAGAGCGGAGATGTTAGGATGGTTGAGAAGGTTGTAGTGTGCAGCAAGGGAGAAGTGTCGAAAGAGGATGAGGTGATTGATTTTGTGATTGATGATGGGGTGTCATGGTTTCTGGCACGGTCTGGAAGGATATATCGATCGTATGACTTTGCAGTGACGCGGATGGTTCTTTTGAGTAAGCCTGTAAGAATGATTCCTGAGCCTGTATGCTTTGAGGGAAGGGCAAGAAGTATTGCAGCGAGGGGGGGGAGGATGTATGTGTGCTATGAGGAGGGAATTGAGGTTTATGATGTTCGAAAGAACGTGTTGATGTTGAACTACACGTACAAGGTGTTGAATTATGAGTTGAGTGTGTTTGAGAGTGTTTTTTGTATGGGAGATGAGCTGGTTGTTGCTGGAGATGCGCCTGTTGTGGTTGCAAATGTAAGAGTGCAGAAGATGTATGGAAGTGTTGGAGTGGCCAATGATAAGATATTGTTTGTTAGGCGCGATGATGCTGTTGAAAAATGCCGAGTGAAGCTTTTGAAGGAGTCTGATGCATGTGCAAGAGTTGAGGAGATGTTTAGGATGACGATTGGCAACAAGGTTGAAATTCCTGAGGCTGGAGAGTGGAGTGGCATGGCTGAAAGGGTGGCTCTAACAGCACAGAAAGTTGTTAATGACTTTGGAAGCAAGATGGTTGATGCATACCGAGGAATATATTTTGAACTTACGAGCCTGAACGAGAGTTTTAGGGAGAAAGTCGAATCGTTGAATTTTGAGAATGAGGTGATACTACGAAAGGCCGAAGGGCTAGATATGAAGAAGAGCGAGCTTGTTAGCAGGCTGCAGATGCTGAATGAAAGGATGAGGCAGGCTCTGTGCATGATACGAATTGATGCGAGTGGGCACAGAGAGATGATTCAGAAGATAAACAAGACGATTGACGGAGTAAAGTTTAAGAAGCATGAGAAGTATTCGAAGATACTGAAGATGCAGAGAGAGATTTTGAATAGAAGGGCAGAGGGAAGGAGATGAGATTGTAGAGTATCTTGATGGCTGGGCAAGGCATGAGTGAATAAAAGTGTGAGCTATTTTTGAAGAAGCGAAGAGTGATGAGTGTTTTGATTGGGAATGAGTAAAGGATTGATTGTTATTAGAATGAAATATTTTACCTGGAGACAGCCCATCGAATGCAAACAATCAGGATATTGCCGAATATTCGGGCGCTTCTCAGGGAGGGGAAGGAAGAGGAGGCAATTGAGGTGATGAATGCACATGTTGATGTGATTGCGCCGTATGTTCGAGACGATCTGAAGTACATTAAGTCCCGGGATGCAAAGACCAGCTTGTGCTTGAGCAAGATATATTTTGTGCTTGAGGATTATGAGCGATCGATTGAGTATGCATTGCAAGCAGGAGATGGATTGGTTGATGACGGATCGTTCTATTACAAGTCTATAGTGTATAGAATGATGGAGTTGGTTGAGAAGTATGGGGATCTTAAGGTTAGGGATGCTGTTCTGAGAATAGTTGGAAAGGAAGACGCTGACGAGTCGCTGCTGGGGTATTTGTTTTGCATAAAGGCATATGAGATGTTTAAGGAGGTGCTTGAGAAGTATTTATGCGGTGTAAATGACTGCCGAGACGTGCTGGATCTTCTTGTGTCTGTTGCAGAGGAGAATGGGAGTATTCGCGAGCTGTATGAGGCGATAGTGGCGATTGGGATTGAGATGAAGCCGTTTATTTTCTATGTTGTTGATGGATGTTTCTATCTTGAGAAGATAGATAAGGTAAAGGAGATGATTGAGAGGCTTGCTGAGTCTGATATTTTGCTGTGCTATGAGGTTGCTTTTTATGTCGAGGACAATTACAGGCCTGATATTGAAGTGCAGAATGCAAATGTGATGAAGATTCTTAGTGGGGAGTTTATGAGCAAGATTATGTGTTCATTTCTTCTTGAGAAGAACTTGACGAGCTTTAAGTTTCTTGAGTCGATAGCAAAGACGAGAACACATTATCTTGGACAGGTGAATTCGTTGATGAATCTTGGGACATCGAATGATACGTTTTATAGGAGTAACACGGACATATTTGGCCAGTCGAAGGAGTGGGCCAGGTTCATTGAGGTTTCGAGCATTGGGATGATTCATGCGCTGAACTCGAATCCGTATGAGATTCTGAAGAATTACTTGCCGAATGAGGTGAGCCAGAAGGAAGGAGGTGCGTTGATGGCGCTGGGGATTATGAAGGCAGGCACGTTCAGTGAGGAGGACACTGAGTACCTGATGTATTTTCTAGATATGGAAGAGAGTCTGACGCCTGAGCTTGCGCATGGTGTTTGTCTGGGGTTGGGGCTGATAAACATGGGGTCTGTTAATGCAGACATACTGGATAGGCTACGAGGGCTGCTGAAAGTTGACAAGACGTTGCTGGTGGAGGCTTCTGTGTATGGGATTGGATTGGTTGGGCTGAACTCTTGGAATGTTGAGCTTGTGGACGACTTGATTGCGATTGGAAGAGAAACGGAGTTTGAACGTGTGAAGAGAGCGATTGGAGTGGCTATTTCACTGACGATGATGTTTAGTGAGGAGATGTTCTATGACGAAAATGCATTCGAGGGAGCAGAAGGAATGAAGAGCTATATAAATGATCTTATGGCAGATAAGGATGCTGTTATGAAGAGTAACGGGCTTCTTTCTCTTGGGTCGTCGTATGTGGGGACAGGAAGGCTTGGAGTGATTGCAACGGTTTTGCCGTATGTGAATGATGGGGACGATGATGTCAAGAGAGCGGCAGTGATTGCGATTGGACTCATATGCTGTGATGATCGGGATCTTCTTGTGAGCACACTAGAGCCGCTTTCTGAGAATCACAATTTTTTTGTCAGGGCAACCACCGCTGTGGTTCTTGGGCTGTTTCAGGCAGGCACTGGGGACAAAACATGTTCTGACATACTTGAAGCGCTAATGTATGACAGCAACAACTTAGTAAGACAGTCTGCATGCATTGGGGCAGGCTTTGTTTTGATGCAATGCAATCCGTCTCTTGTACCGAACTACAAGCGTATTATTGAGCGACTGAATAAGCTTGTGGTTGACAAGAAGGAGGATGGGGCCGTGGAGTTTGGAGCAGTGTTTGGAAGAGGAGTAAGCGAGGCAGGAGGAAGAAACATTATTTTTTCTGTAAGGAATGCATCTGGGGTTCTTTCTGCAGATAGAATAGCGGGAGCTATTATGTTTCTGCATTACTGGTACTGGTATCCACTTGTAAACATGATTTCGCTGTGTTTTCTTCCCACTGCAGTGTTTTGCTTCAACGAGGATCTTGAGGAGGAAGATCTTGAGATCAGAACGTCTGAATGTTATGATAACCTTCTCATACGTCTTCCGGATGTCAAGAAGGCAAGAAGATTCCGGCAGAAGCCTATGGAAGACAAGGAGGTGGTTACTGAATCGCCTTCGGTCTTGAAATCTGGAAGCAGATGCACGATGAAGCAGAGGGAGGAATGTGGACTTGATGCGCCAGCCATTCTGTTTGTGAAGAAGAAATAAAACTCTTAAAGATTTTTGATTTGACAAAGTAAGCATGGCGCTGCATTGGAAGTGGAATAAAGGATTTGAATGTGTTGTGCATTGTAACATGTATTTAATTGATGGAGCTTTACACATGGGAATGCGATTAGCTCAGTCCATGTCGTTTAGCTCTGCAGAGAATGAAACAACTTCACCTGGCTGATATGGAGGCAGTCCGAGCGATGGGCATGTGCTGCATCTGAAAGCATCACCTTTATGGCAGTTTCCACATGCAGACCTTGTGTCTTCTTGGTTTCTCAGTTCACATGTACAATTTGCACATGGCTTCTTCTTGACAAATGCATTTGTGTTTGGCTCTGGCGTATTGACAATCATATCTGTGTGCGTGAGAAACTCGTTTTGGCTCTTTACCCGTGGATCTGTGCGTTTCTTTATCAATGCTTTAAGTGTTTCCTTGAGCTTTGCTTTTTCTTCCATGAGGGCTTCTGAAATTCTGTTGGGTTCTATTTCTTTAGTGTGTCCTGTGCCAAGTGATACCATGCCTCCAAAATCGCAGTGTGTTCGTACTCGACTTGCTCTTTGAGTATTATCAGCTCGTGTTCTAGCTTATGCAGCACTTCTGCATTTACACTTGTTGCTTCTTCTTCAAATCCCCGATCGATGATGGTGCTGCTTATTTCTTCTATTTTCTGTACAAGCGTTTTGTTTTCATTGCTTAGTCTTGCATTCTCGCTTTTCAGGCTCTCCAACTCGTTTGTGTCTGTGCTGCTGAAGAAGAGTGTTTCAAAGAATGCCTCAAGGGCCGGATCAACATCGTCTGTTTTACGCTGCTTCATGTACAGAAACAGAATGAGCCCGTGTATTTCATTGATCGAGTATATTCTCTGGTCTATGCTTATTCCATATGCATCCTTGTACTTTCTGATCAGTGCATCCTCTATTTGTTTGTGGAGAAGAACTTTGCATGCTGAACATTCATCCTTGATTTCTATACCTATGATATTAAGAATGAAGCGTATGCCGTGCAGAGATATCTGGCCTGTGTCTTCTTTTGCATTTCCATGGCCATGATCTGCATCAGCAAAATGCTCGTTCTGCAGAATGTGCTGTAGCAACACAGAAATATCCATTTGTTTTGTAGCACTTCAGATTATGTTCCAAGCACGATCAGCACAATAGTGAGCCCTCAAACATTGGATGGAAGGGATCTTCAACAGCAAGGATCTGTATGAGTATCTTGAGGAGCAGAAGCAGATGAGCATATCAAAGACAAGGGAGATCGCGCTGTATTACAAGGCAACATCAAAGAGCATGGACGACGACGAGTACTCGCTGCGCATATGGCTAGACTATATCCAGCTTCTTATAGACGGCTCGAGAGACTCGACGGAGGCACGAGAGACGTTCAAGATGATAAAGATGCGGTTTTGCAAGTTCTACAGCTACTGGGAGGCATACATCAGATTTGAGGCTGAGTGCAGAAACGAGGGAATTGGCAAGATTGTGCAGCAAAGCATTGAGTTTATCAAAGTCAAGGAGTTTGCAGAGAAAAGAAATGTTTTGGAGCATCTTAAGTATGTTGAGAGCTGTATAAATGCTGGAAGAGATCCCAAGGCATGTCTTAAACCATATGCAATCGATGTAGAGAATGTGGAGAATGGGGCAAACTGTAAGAATGGCAATACTATACCAAACGGATGTATTGGCGAGGGTGAAAGTGTAAGCAACTACACAGGTATGTGTGATGCTAGCAGTTGTGATGCAACTAATGAGCCAAGAGTGCTTGGTAACAAAGTGTTTCTATCGATTGAAGGCAATGATCAAAGTAAAAGAAGCGCAAATGGCAGAGATAAGAGTATGTGTGCATTGAGCAGTGCAAGCAGAGCACCAATGCAGCATCAGCCATGCATTGGAGGTGTGTGTGTCAAATTTGATATGGAGGATTATTCACAAGGCATAACAAACGAGATAAATGCAATGCTTGGAAGAGCTGCATCTGAATGCAACAGCCTGTCTCCAAGATCTGATTCTATGACAATGAAGCCTAGGCAGAGAATGATGATAAAAAGCATGGAGATTGAGGTTCTGAGCCAAATAGGAAAGGGAGGAAGCAGTAAAGTTTACAAAGTACTGCACGGAAGCAATGTATATGCATTGAAAAGAGTTGAGCTTATTGGAGACGAAAAGATGTTAAGCCTGTATAGCAATGAGATCAATCTGCTGTACAAGTTCAAGGGAACGCCAGAGATAGTTGAGATAATGGACCACGAGATTGGAGGAGAGTACCTAGACATGCTATTGGAGTATGGAGAAACAGATCTGTCGAGGATAATAAAGGCAGGAAAGCTTAGCATGAACTTTATCAAGGATGTATGGGAGCAGATGCTTCTGATCGTCAAGAGGGTCCATATGGAAAGGATCATTCATTGCGATCTTAAGCCAGCGAATTTTCTTTTTGTAAAGGGAAGAGTGAAGCTGATTGATTTTGGGATATCTAAGGTAATTAGAAACGATACAACGAGCATTTTATCTGAGGAACAGTGTGGGACTGTGAACTACATGTCACCTGAGGCTGTGACTCAGAGCAAGTCGAAGATGGGACGAAGCTCCGACATCTGGTCACTGGGATGTATTTTGTATGAAATGGTGCACTCAAGGCCGCCTCTGCATGAGTATCCAAACATAATACAGAAGATTCAGAAGCTACAGGAGTATTCTGGATTCAAGTACACGTGCGGTAACAAGCTAGCAGTTGAAGTGATGAATGAATGCTTGATGAAGGATCCAAAGAAAAGGCCTACAATAGACATGCTTTTGAACCATAGATTCATTGTTGGTGAGAGCGAGCCTGGATGTACAAAGGAATTGGTTGAAAAGGTTCTCAATATTTTAGAGCAAGAAAACAAACTTTTGTGTGCAGATGAGGTCATGCAGCGCCTGAGCAACTCGTGATCAGAATTAAGCATGAAAAAGTATGTATAGAGCAGCAATACGATATTTCGATTGAATACTCATCGCTTTCATTAGCATAATGCATCCAGGAGTAATTTATTACTGACTAAGCAGCGCTCAAACATCCTAAGCATCACGATCGATAAATACATAGAATGATCATAAATATTAGTTGTCTTGGTTTAATTCACCTATCATCTTCTAGCTGGAAGAATGTCATCGATCTTGAGGATCATAGATACTGTTTCAAGCGCAAGAGTAATCATGCTGATGCTTACCTTTGCTGGTTGTATCACGAAATCATCCTTGACCATATCTCCAGCATGCCCGCTTCGGACGCTGATTCCTACGCACTCGTTCTGCTTCAGTTCATTCCTTAGCTCAGAAACAATTTCAACAGGATAGAGTCCTGCATTCTTTGCAAGAAAGTACGGAATCCCTTCAAATGCCTTGGCAATCTCCCTCAGGACATACACATTTCCTTCGGTGCATTCGCAAAGCATCGAGGCAATTCCCATCTCAACAGACCCTCCTCCAGGAACCAAAAATGGCACTTCATTCAGGCATTTCACCACACACAATGCATCATTCAATGATCGTTCTGCCTCGTCAACAACCATCTCATCGCATCCCCTCAGCACAATAGTGCATCCGTATCCTTTTATCTCAAGCATTCCCTCAACCTCTCCAATCTCAACCTCAACCAGAGACGACACCCCCAGCAGATCTATTTCAGAAACAGGCTGGATAGACAGCGCAGTACACAAGTAATCAATGTCTTTTCTGTCCACGGAGTTTACTACAAGGATGTTCAGTTGCTTTAAGAAATGACTAGCAAGATCGCTCAACGATTCTCTCAGAATGCTCTTCTGGACAATCAGTAGTGTGCATCCGCTCTTCTTTATTTTCTTGCACATTTCCAAAATGTACTTCCTTTCATCTTGTATCACCTTGTCCATCAGAGACGAGTCATTTATCAAAATCTTGCTGTCCATGTTGGTTTTAGGCGCACTAAGGCAGAATTGCACAACTGCAATCTTAACCTTCTTTGGCAAGTTCTTAATGTCGCATTCCAAAAGAATGCTCTTGTATGCTTTTACATCGTCCAATCCTCCCCCAACCTTCTTAATTATTCTTATGCGTCTTTTTTGCCCATTCACATGCTCCATGCCCTCAATTGCTGCAAACGCCATCTCACAGCTGCTTGAAGACACTATCTTCGAGCTCAGTGCAGTGTTCACCGTATTTACAAAGTCTTTCTTGTCACACTCTATCTTGACTCGGTTAATGTAACGAAGCGCTATCCTCTTTACAATCTCAAGATTGTCGCAAATAATCGACGGATGCACGTTCCTTTCCAGTAGGGCAGCTATTCTTTCCAGCAGGCATCCAGCAAGCACAACTACGCTTGTTGTTCCGTCTCCACACTCTTCATCTTGTGCAGACGACATGTTTGACAGAATCCCATGCACCGGGTATCTGTTCAGGTACTTGAGTATCGTCGCTCCATCGTTTGTCACCACAGTCTTCTTGTCCCTTACAAGCATCTTGTCAAGCCCTCTTGGACCAAGCGACGTAGACAGCGTTTGCAAAAGAGATTGAGACGCCTGGAATATCGAAGCCCTCACTTGGCTCTGCCTCTCAAGTGCCATGTTGGGGATGAAAAATTTGGCATTCATCATGCTTTGTTTCCTACACAGTTACAAGTTACACACAGCTCCCTTGAATGCATAGTGCAAAACGACAACGACAGGATTCGAACCTGCGGGGACAGAGTCCATCGATTTCGAATCGATTGCCTTAGACCACTCGGCCACGCTGTCAGATACCACTTACGCCATAGTCACAACCCAGCCTTACCTCCATGCTCAAATACTTCACTGCATTACATCTATGCATGCCATTACACACAACATCATTCTCCTTAAACCATCAAACACACTTTTATTATCATTCGTTGTAGTGCCTAGAGTCTAGCATATCACTCATTTACAATACTTATATACTTCAAATCATATGCTAATCATTTTCGGCATACCATCCACCTAAACTTGTCAAATGGCTGCCAATATCCAACATTCAAGTACTTTTCTTCAAGATAGTATCCATTCATGTGTCTGATTGCTTTTCTTGCACACTCAACGCTTCTATACACCACAAACGCAGTTCCTTCAGTGCGTAATTCATTCCCTATCCGTATCTGAATCATCGATCCATACTCTCCAAACAATCGTATCACCAAGTCCTTATCCACACTCTTCGGAAGATTCCGAACAAACACAATCTGCGTTTCAATCGGATCCATCCCATGATTATTCTCAAACTCATTAAACTTTTGCAATTTCAGCATGAGCACACATTTACATTCATTCACATGTATAGCGTACAACTAGTCATGCACACAGCATGTCTTGTATGCAATACACACAGGTATGGTCCAACACACTACATTTTAGCATTAGGCTTGTTAGTTAAGTGGCAAAACAACTGATTCGTAATCAGTAGGCGCGGGTTCGATTCCCGCACAAGCCTTGTCCATTTTGCCACCTTTATGCTCTTCCAATTGCTTCATGTTCACTCGCATTTCATACTTCCCGCTTACCACCGCATACCTTGTCCAGAAGTTCATTGAATGCCCAATACACTCTGCACTCTCGATTCTTACCATGCAATCATTCCAATTCTTAGCCATGAAGTGCACTAGGATAGGCCTCATGTCTTCTCCTGCATCAAACCTCTCTACACAATACTCCATTCTTTCACTCGCTACCACTACACCAGACAGATCCCATCTCACCACATTGCTGCTTTCATCATATACACTACTTCCAGCCTTATGCCGGTGAACAACCTTCAATGCCTCTCTGGGCACCGGAAAAAAAATCACAAGCTCATCAAACTTCGTGGGCTCACTACACTCCACAACATAGCCTCCTTCATCTCCATAGACTACTACTAAAAGACGCTTACTCCTTGCTGCATAATACCTGAACACCTCACTCTCCATCCCATCAGACTTAATCTCTATCTTTACCGCACCTACTTCATCGTGAACAACTTCATCACTCTTGTATGCAATCGTGCCCACATTCAACTTACCAATCGCAACCTTAATCATCCTTTCGTCACTAAACACCGTCTTTAAATATACGCTTCCTTCTGCCCTATTAACAACGATCCGGCCTTCGTCCACTATTGCGCTATGCCTCTCAACAACATCCAAATACACATTGTTATTGTTCATGCCTGCAAAAAAATGCCTTTCCCCGCCATCATCTAACTCTCTCTCATGCTTGCTGATAATTCTAAACAGCATGAAATAGTTCCCCAGCACATTCTTTTCACAAACCATGCCTATACTCCTTTCCAGCCGCTTTCGAAGCCACTCTACATACTTCAGTGCAGAAATGTCACTCATCGATCTGTACAGCACACCAACCACAACGTCATTCATCCTCACCCGTGTTATTCGAGCACCTTCGCTCTCACTTATAACATCCTGGATGCTTCCAAAATACTTGCTTGCATCTCCATACAATACCCTTTCATCATGCCTAACTATAAAAATCTCTTCTATCATTGTTTATTTATGTTCTAAAATAATAAATCATGTGCATTCCTCTCAATCACATCATTCTCATTATCAACGGCAATACTCTTTTTAAACTGCACTTTAACTGTAGCGGAAGGTCGTCTCCAATCGCAAGCATCTGCTCTCCACTCCTTACTGCCAAATCCAAGCACTCAACCTCAACCATCTCTCCATCAACAAAAAGAAAAACAAGCGAAAATCCATTCCTAACACACCATCCAACACCTGGAGCATAGTAGTACCTGCTTTCGCTTCTAATATTCATCTCGCTTGCCTCAGCTGCCCAGGACATCGACATGGACATCGACAACTGCTGCTGAGAAAGACAATCCACAAGAATAGGCTGTCTTCGTGAAAACCAGCACACCTCATCATCTATCTTCTTGCTTCTTTGCATCAGCTCACAAACCTTATCACGTAAATCTCGCGGCACATCCCAATAACTGTACTTCCGGCCCAGGCCATCATTCATTTCATGCATTCCTCCAGTTCCCCTCAGAATGCTTCCTTTTCTGCAATCGCTATACAAAAAGTCTCCCGAAAACATGTAACTAAACTTCACTCCTTCATCGTTTATGACTATCTTTGCCGTCCTTTGCATAGCAATCTTGATGTATGCTGCTATCAAGCTCAATGTCTTTAGCTTTCCATTCGTAACTATCGCGGGCTCAATTTCTCGCCCATTCACACACACTACATACTCAAATCCTTGTCCACACATGCATTCGGCCATTCCGTGCCTACCTCCTCCCTTACATTGCATTTGCGCAGCCACTTTGACATCTCCCATCTCAACAAATCCTCCGCTCTTCCTGACCGTTCCATGCTTGGTGCTCTTTTCAAAGTCAAACAGACAGCGAAAATCTTGAAAGCTGGGAATAAATCTAGCAAAGCATTCATGCATCAATGCTTCCTTTGCGCAAATCCTCTTGCATGCATCAATCTCCAACAGTCTCCCAAGCAGGTCCGTCACACTCGGCGAACACATCGGCATTGCAGATCCTTTCATGTACTTCTTCCTCGTCAAAAGCGCATAAAATATAACTCCCACAGACCACATATCTGCCCCAAGCGAATACCCGCCTCCACTCGTCATCTCAGGCGCAATATAATCAGCTGTCCCACATAATCGCCCGTCACTCTCATCCAAATAGCAGGAAAGCCCAAAGTCACATATCTTCGCTGTATTTCCCTTCAAAAGAATATTTCCTAGCTTCAAGTCCCTATGCATTATTCCTAACGAGTGAATGTGCTCCACCCCACACAATATCATCCTCAACGTCTTCAATGCCACAGGCTCATCAACCTCATACTCGTTCAAAAACCCAACAAGATTCATATCACACAACTCTTCCACCAAACACACATGGCTTGCCGTCTCAAAATAATCAATCAGTTCAATCACATTTTCATGCCTAGCTATTCCAAGTATGCCTATCTCCCTCTTTGCCATCCATCTGCTCATCCTTTCTTTCGGAACAACCTTCACCGCCACCTCTTTTTCCTCCTCAGAAACGCCTTTATACACCGTGCTAGACACTCCTTCTCCAATCAGTCCTTTAAGTCTGTACTTTCCCATCCACACCCCAGTCCTTGCTACCACGCCAAAATAAAACCTGCACAATTATCAATTATCAATCAGCCATTGCTTATTACTTATTACTTGTTCCATTCACAGCCATCATCATACACAATACCACAACTCATTTATTGTACAGCATAGCGCTCTTGGCTACAATTCATGGACTAATCGTATAGCATAAAGCACAGGCATAGATTCATCTGAAATAGCTTTCATAGTCAATCAATCCAATCCTGGGCTTCCGTCGTCCTTTGCAAACACTCTCATAATATTGGTTCGGCCTTGCCAAACACTCTTCATACAGCATTTTGTCCTCTTCAAAGCTATATCCCTCTAGATTCCTACCTCCACATTCCTTATCAATCATTTCATTTATTTCAATATACTTGTCTCCATACATCTCCTTCATGTGCGACTCACTCAGCATCCCCTTCTCGTTCATCACGCAAAACATCTTATGCCAATCATTTCGAAACACTCCACTCATCGCCATCTCAATCACAAGCTTCTGCACATCCATGTTTCCACTTCGATAAAGCAGTAGCCTTAGCTTCCCCATGATTCTTTCCCCCATTAGAGGCTTTGCAGTCATGCGCATAATGCCAGCTCTTGACAGATACAGAATCCTGCAATGCGCTGGCACGGTGCCATCCGTAGGCGGACTCAGCAGATAAATCACAAGCCTGGCATCAAAAATACATCCAGTATTCCGTAAAAGATACCTGTCTAGCTCAGCAAGTATTACTCCACGCATATCAGCTGTGCACAACCCACTCTCCTCATACATTTTCTTTAGAAATTCATAGAAAACATCCGATATCTGCATGCACTTCTCAAAGTACACTCTCACATACAAAATCACAAACTCAAATTCAGGTCGGTATCCGTTCGAAAAAAACATCTCCAAGACATAGAACAAACTCCACACCATCTCCTTCTGATCCAGATGCACTACATCATGGGCACTCAGAAATCCAATCGCCTCCCTCACCAGAAACTCACACTCATCAATCTCGTTTCCTTCCTCAAATCGCCTTCGCCGTTCCAAGATATTAACATTTGCCTGCAGAATCACCTGCGGGTACAGATTACACTCAAGACACCTAGTAAGAATGTCCAGGCACGGCCTTTTCATAACACTCCCATATCTAAGCACGTAATACACAAAACTGCTTCCTCCTATCTCATTTGCCTTCTTTCCTACCAGCCCAAGGATCTCCCTCTTCTTTGCATCATTCACCTCGCCAGGCTTCATCAACGAATTCACAAGCCATCTGTACTTTTCGTCATATCCTGCCCTCAGCACATTTTTCACCTCCATCAACGAATGGATTACCTCCAGAAACAAATACTCAAACTTTACCCCAGACATCTCTTCACCACCTGCATTCTCCTGATCAAACTCAGCCATGTTGCTTTCATCAGAGCCATCACTGCAACTATCCATCTCTGTGCCATCATCCATGCCATCATCACTCAAAATCACTGGCGATTCCTCATTATGCCTTTTAGATGCCTTCACCGCAATCGTTGCCTTTGTAACACTTGTTGCAATAAGCAGGATCGTCCTGATGTACTTCTCACTCTCATGTGTCCTAATCGGGACCGTTTCAAAAAAATACCTGAACACATCAAGAAACTCCTGGTGGTCAGAGTATTCAAAAAACCCCATTTTCTTCAGAGCCAATATCTTCTTGACTATCCCCACAAAAATATTCACCATCCGCGACTCATAGCATATCGATACGTCCCGTAGCTGATCAATCATCAGGCGCAGCACTCTCGAACCGATCTTTAGCCTATGCGTACTCTGCATCTCCTCCTCTATTTTCTCACGCAGATCATCCAAAACACTCGGAATGCTTGATGCATTTGACTTCATGTATGTAATCAGCTTCGAGAGCTTTTCCTCACTCATCGAGTCCTTTCTGTACACATTCCTGACCATCTGAACATGGCTTTCGTATCCAAACAAACTCTTCAGCATTCAGGGCATCAATACTCATGACATCTTCAAAGCACACCATACACAAACAACTCATCTATGCACAAACCTTGTTATTGTACTCTGCACCACCCCAGCATCTCCAACTTCTTCATAAATCCTCCGGAGCGCATTGTCAAGTTCCGTGCTTCTCAAAAAAGCATTCTCGCCAACCTCATCCACAACATGGAAAATCTGCAAATATTCGCTTCGTATAATGCCCAGGATCTCTTCCTCCGCTTCTTCAATCATCTTACTTGACTCTTCAACCATGTTGTTTGATTCATGCATCAGGGCATATTCTTACAGCCATGTACAGATTTATTACACAGGCATTAGATTACACTCATGCAGTAACCCTGGAATGGCCTTGATAAAACGAATCGTATCAAGGGGAAGGTCGTGCTATGTCGTCCATGCAAACGAGCAAACATTTCTTCTTGATTATCCATCCAGTGTGTATGGAGCATGTATTTCGTATCCGTCATTTGATAAAAGTTCCAGGCCTCTGAAACTTGCACTCCCAAGACTTACTGACGACATAGACTATGTGCTTATCACCAGGTCTGACTCGTTGGGTGTCCTCTTTATGCAGAAAGATGTTCCAATATACATGACCGAACCGGTTTTTGAGCAGATACTGATGAACTACCAGTCCATTCTGAATCTCAGGCTGCATTACGAGGAGGACGGAGACGATGGGGTGCTTGTTACCAGTGCAGACATTGCAAGATTCAGACGGAATGTAAGGCTTATTAGGTTCGATGAGATATGCCGTTTTAATCAGGTCCGTGTTATTCCTCGCTCGGCAGGAACATTTATTGGATGGGCAAGCTATCTTATTGAGCTAGAGAACAGAAAGACACTGTGCTATGTTTCATCACTATCGAGCAAAAAACGATTTTCATTGGACGCAGGCAGTATTTCTTCAGATTACTTGATAGTGAACACAGACAAACAGCCAGATATCCATGAAATTGATGCATTTTCTGATTGTATAAAGTGTTTGGAAACAGATATCGCTGTTATTCCTGTTGATCTCACAACATTACTCCTGGAAGTGGTGTTCCATGTCCTATCGTTGCTGCACTTGAAAGACAGCATTCCCGTCTACATTGTATATCCGCTGTTTGATCGCTTCTACACAACAGTTGGCATCCAAAATGACTGGCTAAACAAATCGTTCTCATCTATCAAGGATCCGTTTCCAATCAAAGCTTACAAAAGGCTTCATGTACTTACGACGATTGACAAGCTTGCAACAATATCTGGGCCTGCTGTTGTATTCTGTAGTCCTTTGGAGTTCAGCCTTTATCCACAAGGAGTGTTTGAAACCCAGAAAGTTGTGTCAATCAACAGGGTGCTAGATCAAGCAGACATGCATTACGGCCTGAGGCTTGAGCTTGATCTGGAAGAGATAACTTCAATGCACACCGGAACAATAATACATGACACTGCCCCAAACCGGTATTTGTACATTGATACAACATGCAGGTACTTCTATCTGTCCATCGATGGATGCAAAACACAGGTATATGCAAACGAAATGTATGTTCATGGAAAGCTAAGGTTTAGTGACAGGCAAACCGCCACAGAGACAAAAATGGAGCTGGTGCAGGATAAATGCAAGATAACCGACTTATTTGCTAACGAGCCGTTTTTCTTCAACAACGGGCTGTACTACTTTCCAAGAAAGAACCTTAAGATAGAAATCAGTAGAAACAGAGTTAGGATAGAAAATATATCAAAATAAAGCACATTGTCGCCTCAAATACAAACACATCAAGCATTTAATTTATTGCCTGTTAAACAAATCCTTTTTGATACGGAGTTCCATCATTGCATCTTCTGTAGAAATGCATTCCGTGGGGTCTCTGTGGGCCTGCTGCTCACAAGATATTGCATTAATGCTTTCATATATAAATGCACGCCTTGGATCGAAAAACAAATTGTATTCTGCTTCCTCGTACAACTTCAAAAACCGCTTGCTTTTGATGCTTTCAGGAACTAAGCAGAACTGCTCTGTAAATCGAATGTTCTGTTGGCTGTAGTCATGCCCATAAAGTATCAATGCTTCACGATCAACTCTGGCTTTTATTTTTTCAATTGCATCTACCATTTGCTTAGCTGTTCCTTCAAAAAATCTGCCACATCCAAGGAAAAACAATGTGTCGCCAGTGGCAAGATACCTTCCTGCAATGTAGTAGCAGAAACTATCAGACGTGTGGCATGGCGTATGAATACACTCAACCTCAATTCCTTCAAGGTCAAACACATCGCCGCATTCACAGATCTCGTCTTCAAACCCAGAAATTCGCCGTACGCTCGGCATCTCACTCTTCAATTCATCAATCCCCCCTGTATGGTCAGAATGCCTGTGTGTTGTTAGAACACACACAAGCCGCCGTTTACTCGTGCACTCCTCCATCGCAAGAATCTGCTGTGCACTATACACACTTCTAGTAAACGCAACACACAGAGCCTTCTTTAGTACATCAAACCTGCATGCATCTATACATATCATAGCATTTTCATTGCATATCAGGTGCATGTAATTTTTGCCTTCTTCAATCAAAACACTCACAGCGAACACACTCATATGCCTTTCTCAAACCAAGTATTTATGCTACAGATCCTATTCATTTGCAATCAGCTGCCCAGATGCATCATACTCAACTCTTGACTGCTTCAGCACATATATCATATGCATGCCGTCAAATCCCTTCAGACTCTTCTTTCCTTGCTGCACATACACTATTTTCGGATGCTCCACTCGCACACAATCACAGCAGAACACTCCGCATCCAAGATTGACCAGCCTGGCCGCCTTGTTAAGTGCAGGCCCATAGAAGCGCACATGGTCCCCAGAAATCTTTGTATAAAACACCCCGCATGCCATTCCTACACTCACATCCAAATAAACGCATCCAAGCATTTCCTGTATCTTTAGTCCCCACAAACACGCCTCAATTCTATCATGGAACGCTAGTACATAAAAGTCAATTGAAGATTCCACTACTACCCCGAAAAAAATATTGCAGGCCATTCTGATTATGTTTCTGGTGTTTGAAACAATACATGCATGAATGTCTGCAGAGTTTCTTGGGAATATCCTACAGAAAACAAATACAGGATTAGGATTCGTAATCAGAGAATCATACCCAAGCCTGCTTGATGTCTTCAGCACTGGGTTGTAGTTTCCACATCCGTTAATCGCACTTTCCATCAACCTGCGCTTTCTATCAGCCACGCTCCGCTTTTCCACAACTGTATTTAACTCACGCTCATACTCCAAACACCCTTTCAATGCAGCTGAAATGCTCCTGGTGCATCTGACGCCACTTGCAGGTTTGCACTCATCAAATATACAAAAATCCGAGATGCTCATTGCCATTGCCAACGGACACTCATAGTTCATAAATCGCATTATCTTGCCAATATCATTCTCTAATGTATCCAGCACATCAAATCTGGATACCGTATCTTTCAGTGGGCAGATTACCGGAATTAGGTTCCAACTACCAATGTTATCATAGATGTACACACATTCGGGCTCATTCAGTATTCTAATATGTGCAAAGTTCGAAAAGACCGCGTCCATGCCTATCCTACTAATAACTACATGCTCTGAGGTCACCATGCAAATCAAATATGACGCTTCAGTATCCATTTCAGAAATCAGCGTGTTGAGCATTGACCTGAACCTCTCAAACCACTCAATTGTATCTGCGCATCCATCTATTCTCGAGAAGGTTGCATTGACAGCACTTTTTATATCATCACCGGGTTTTCTTGAACACACAATAAACACATTCAAATGCTGTACGCTATTGCTAATCACAATCTGCTCAACCACCATATCTGTTTTCTTGCACACATGCACTGTACACCCGTTCACATCATTCATACACATTGGTCTGTATGCTTCTCCAACTATGTCCATGTGTATATGCTCAAGCCGCAAATATGTTGTGGATGGTTGTACATGCCCTTCTAGTGACATAATTGGGTTGTAAGACAGATCCAAATGCACCATCTTATGCATCTGTCTAAAATCAAATGTAATTAGCTGGTTCATGGATGCATTCAAGAAGGTCAGCTGTTTACACTGAATCTCGCGCACCAAGTTTCTTGATATGTCCAGATACTCCAGTGCAGGAAACACAGGCACACACTCTATAAGGTTGCTCCTTGCTTTTAGAACTTTTAGGCTCTTTGCTTCAACATCAAGTGTTCTTAGTTGGCAATTGCAAATACTTAGATAGATAAGCCTGTCAAACATGCCCAGCCTCACATCTTGCGTGCCGTCAAGAATAACCTTTCTTGCCACTCTCGAACAAACAAACTGCACCCTTGTGAAAGATAAATCTACAACACATGCCTCAGAAGAATACTCCTCCAATGGATTGTGGCTCAGAGACAGGTACTGGTACTTAAATGTCTGTGAAAATGAGCGAATTGCATTATGAGCAAGGTTTAGGCTAGATGCATTCATTCTGAGAACACTGCAAATCCTGTTATGCGATAGATCAACTTTGCTGAATGTCCCATTAGCATAAACACTCCCATGTATTTTGTTATTGCTTAGATTGATATGTGTAAGCCTTAGCATTGAAACATCAGGAATCTTTCTTATCCCACAGTTAGCAAGCTTCAGCCTGCGGAGGCTTCCAAGTACACTGATTGCATCCAGCAGTCTAAATCCAACCCGGTATGCATGCTTGACGATCACAACTCTGTGCGATGCACTGATCCTCACAGACTCCCCAGTTTTATACAGGCATTTAATAATGGGCATACAGTTATCACCAATCGCCTCGACTCCACGATTGCTACTTATGAACATACGAAATGGCTCATTACATATTTGTGCTGCGATATCCTTGCATTTTGTGAACACAGATCCCGTGTAGTTGTGTATTTTTTGGCCTGATGCATCATATATAGCCATAGAAACATCAAAATCGTCTAAGCACACATGCTCAGTTGTGAAGTGTCTCTTGACAGCAATCATTCCAACTCCTCTGGTTATATTGATTCTGCAATGCTTCAAAGGAACCTCCATATGCAGGGCCTTATTGATTCTTGCAAATGTGATGCAGAACCTATTCTATTCGATTCTACTGTACGCATGCTGCTGCACGTCTTTATATGCACACATCTCCTGAGCCATGAATTGCAGCTCATATCAATGCTACTATTGCCATGCCTTACCTAGCCATGCTGTGATTCATTGAAACGGTTTATGATGAGCAATGCATAATTAAGATCAAAGATAGCTAATTGACTATGCAATTGATGTATGATTGTGTTGTTGATCAATAAAGATGCAAAGTTCGAAGAGCACCTCCTTATCACCACTAGAAATAGCTTTTGTTTTAGCCCTTCATGGGCAAAATCCATTTATTTGCCGCAAAAACATTATTGACGTCGGTGTTGGCAGTAGCAGTGTTTGTACACGATCACTCGTTCAGTCTTGACATTGGTGCTGCATTGATACTCAGTGTTGGATTCAATCTAGTTGCACTGCTACGCTTTCATGCAAAAACACGCGAGTATCGAAGAAGGTTTTTGAGAAAGACATACGAACCTGATAGCAAGACGCTTCTGGGCCTTTTTGTGTGTGAGGTGCTATGCATGCTCCCATTATACTACATCTCTGGATACTGGAAGATAATGCTTGTAAATATTGCCTGTGTGGAGATGATCAACATATTCCTGATTTTCAACTCGCGAAGCAGACGAACCTTCCAGCTCGAGCATAACAAGAAAGAGTTTTTCAAGATTGGATTTCTAAAGACCGAGCATTGTGAAAGCGGAGACATCTGTCTGAGCAGAGGCGAGGTCGTTCAGATTCTTGATTGTAACGGAGACAAGTCGTCGGTCAGAAAATCAGATGGAAGAATTTTTATAGTAGACAGCGTTCATATTGACGATGGAATTGAAATTGTGCTGTAAATCATCACCAATATTGCATTGGCGCATGCCCACATCCTATGGCAAGCATCAAAATGCCTGCCCAGTATTGCTGTATAAAGAACACATAAGTTCATCAGTTAAGTAATAAAATATTATATAAACTCTATTTGCTAAAAGTATCAGCATATGTCCTGCTATCATTGAGCTATATCGGATTGGCTCAATACTCTGTTAGTCCCAACGAATATAATATTTCCATAACACTCACATACAACAAATAGCGAAAAAGTTTATTCGATCAGAACACCCTCGAAGTTCTCAATAAACCACGACTTGGCATCCTCGGCATACACCCTCTGCCCGTTTCCTACCCTAGACTTACACCTTCTTCTCTTCGATACTCTGTCTCCAGGCCTGCTAAGAACAACAAAGAAGTCCATTCCAAAAATACCAACACTTGGGTCGTACTTCAGTCCAAGATCAATGTGCTCTTCAATTCCAAATCCGAAGCATCCGTTGTTGCTGAAACAGCCTGTCTTCAGCTCATACTCCTTTACCTTCAATGCCGTGTTCAGAAGCTCATATGCCTTCTTGCCTGACACATTGACATGCACTGCAATCTTCTCGTTTCTTCGGATCCCAAAGCTTCTGATCGTCATCCTTGCCTTCGATGAAACAGGCTTCTGGCCAGTCAGCTGCTCAAGAACCTTTGCTGCCTTCTCAAGCTTTACTCCACTCTCTCGTGTGCAAATGTGTATCGACAGTTTCTTAATGCTTATCTCTCTCATTGGATTCATCTTAAATTACTCAGGCCTTCAACTTACCTTCTTAAATATTGTACCGGGGTCAAATTTTTTCATTAAATCATTTCAGATTACTTCTGCCATGCCTACCATCTTTGAGCCCATTGCTCGTTACGCCAATGCAGCTCAGCACTGCACTCATGTGCCAGGCATCACAGGTATACCAAACATGCATAATAACATTCATATCTTGTTTATTTCATATCGTGTATTCTGTACACATGATGTACCATCATGCTGATTGCATAAACCTGTTATTACTATTACTTCAGCAAGCTCATATTCATGTACTCACATTTTTTCTTCTGCCTCATTTGCCTTTACAAACCATTTGCTCTCAACGACCTCTTTGATCTCCACAGTTCTTCCATTCTGAGCTCCTATTCCTGTGTGTCTCTTCATGCCCGTGCTTTTCAGTGCAAACATCTGGCTTCCATTCTTCAAATACCATGTGCCATCCTCAAACTTTACAAGCTTTGTATTTGAACTGCCATCTCTGTGCCGCACTTGCAGCATGCGCACCTCTTCGTCACAATACTCATTTGGATCAAAAGCCAGCCACGTAGGCTTCTTGACCAAGAAATACATGGCTCAAGGGCTAGTTGCATGCATATACTCACTCATCATTCGCGTGCATACTCCATTCAGCACCGAACCTGTGCATATGCGCCCTATAAGCACGTCCCTGCCTGTAAAATCATCACAAGTTCATATGTACACACTCGCAGATACTTGTGAACATACACTTACATAGCAGCCAAATGCCTACCCCTGAAATGGAGCGTTTATTGCATGACATTCTGATAAATCCCACAAGTCCATCGATTGGCCAGATTGAGCAACTCCTCAGCCAACCTGAAGGTCAGGACGAATTCATGGCACTGCTAAGGAACGGAAACGAAATAGCGTTTGCATACATGAAGATGAAGTGTAAGGAATGGAGCATTATTCCAGAAAGAGTAGCAATGGTTCATGGGATGAAAAACGTGCTGTTTTCCTTGATATTCGAGAGCTCGGAGTTCAACTTTGGGATTCTTTGCTTTTTCTTCGAGACGCTGTACTTCCAGGGAGCGGGTTGGAGTGGGCTTGTTCAAGAGCTGTGTGCAAGGCATGACCCAAGGAGCCTTAAGGTTCTGAACCACATGTTCACTAAGTACAGAACATGCACACAAAGCAATGAGCTGTATACCGAGATAATCGAGAATATAGAGCTATGCCAGGAGATATTCAGAAAGGCATACTTCGAGAGCCTGTCTGAGGATGAGAATGTGCTTGGGATGTTTTACTCACTGGTGTTCCAGGACATCCATCCGTTCTTTGAAGACAATGCAGATAAGTTCATGGGATCCTTCTGTGCACTATTTCGGAAGCAGATTCTCCAGAAGGACATTTGCGAAATATTCAACCTATTTGTGACGAAGTATGCAGAGTGTGTGGACATGACGAGGATTCTTGGTGTGCTACTTGTGACAATTACATGCTTTGATCGGCTGAAGTATTCTGTTCTTCTGAACATTGCAAAGAGAAAAGAATTCTCTGTTCTGTCGAAGTTTTCTGATGCACTTTGCAATGCAGTGAAGATAGGGGCGTACCTGTCGCCGAAGGAGATCGAGGACATGAATGAGGATGTGCTGCTGTACACAAGAAGTCTTCTGAAGGGATATGATATGAATAGAGAAATGGTGATTGAGCTAATTGGGCACCTGAGGAAGGTATTTGGTGAGTGCTGGTGTGAATCCTTGGTTGCTGCTGATATTGCAAGCCCGATGGATGAGGAAAGGCTGATATTTTTGTGCATGGGGCTTAGGATGTGCTCTAGAGAGGTAGCCGATAAGTGCTTTGCGATCATTGGCACGAATAGCGTTCCATCGTACCTGGGGGTGATAGCATTTAGATACTTGCTGATGGTTCAGGAATATGCATCTGTTGATCCAAGATACATAAGCAGAATGCATCCAGCATCATTCTTGGCAATTGAGTATTTGAGCAGAATGATTGATACCGGTGAGTTTTTAAGGAATCTTGATTCATACTCGAAAGAGCATGTCTCTGCAGACCATGGAGCATGTGAAAGGCTCGGAGGCACGGGGCACTTCACAGCGATATTGGATAAGCTGGTTGAGTTTATTAGTGCAGGAGTGGAAGATGAAATATCATGCAAGCTGCTGCAAAGAATTGCACGGATGAATACTTCCCTGATCATACCAAGAGTTGTGAAGTTTGTGGATGATCTTATTGAAAGGAACATCTTGAGCATCAACTCCCCACAGGGATACTGGTATTTGCTCGATGTAAAAGGAATGGCACTTATGAGATATGGCGATGATGGGTCTGCATCCAGGATTATACAACGGGTGCTGAGCGAGGAGATATTTGAGGTATATGCACCATCGTTTTTTCTACTTGGGATTCTTGTCTGTCAGTCATCCAGTGATTTTTCGTCTGTCGTTGAGATAATAAAGCAGGAGAGCCTGTGGAAGACGAAGGAGCTTGTTCCAAGCATGGTGTGCCTGACTATTTGTCTTTTTGAAAAAGGATACTGCAGCAGGGAGCAGGTAAGGTACATAGTAGAGTATTTGTTCGAGGCCAGTGCACACCAAGCATACGTGTTATTGTGCGGCACGATTGCTGGCGAGGAGCATCTTATGTGGATCAAGGGAGAGAATGTAGAGGAGGAGTTTGTGCTTGCAAGCCTGCTAAGCAAGAAGGGGATCATGACGATTGATATGTATCGAGATGTGTATGCCAGGAGTGTGAATTATTTTGAAGAGAACTTCATATCGAAGCAGAATGCAAGAAGAGTGCTGAAGGGAGTAAGATATGGAAAAGATATACTGAGAGAAGAAGAGAAAGGCAGGCATATTATTGAAAAGAACAAACACAATCTTGGATGCGAGAATGTTCCTTTCAGTACAATGGTTGTTCTTGGCATTTAGAGTGCAGAGGGTATTAAACGTTTGCTGTCTATTTTATATTTTGATGAGTGTGCTGGGATAAAGGAGTAGGCTTTAGAAATGATACACCCCTTGTAACCTATAAATGTTTCAGCCTGGAATAGAGGCATATCTGGATGCTATAAAGCAGCAGTATGACGAGCTGCTTGCAGAAAACAAAGCCTTGAAGCATGAAAACTCACGGCTTTCTGCAGAGAATAGCCAGTATGTGAGGAGGATCCAACACTACAATAGTGTATTGAATGAGCGGAAGCATGCTGAACAGGGAGATGGAAGTCAGTGTAATGTGCGTATGAAGCGCCTGAAAAGAGGAAGTGATTGGGTGGCTGAGGGCGATTTATTTTGCTCGGTGAGTCTTTGCGAACGGATAGTCCTGCCGGTGAAGATTACAAATGCAGTAGTCAGCAGATGCGGTAAGTATGTGGTGTTTGGATGCGGACACCGAGCATTTATGCTGGTGGAAAAGGAGATTTGGTATTTGAATGCGTCTACAGAAAAAATGGAAAGATGCGATGCAGGGATGTTTAGGGCAGATGCTCAGGAATACAAGATATGCCCGATGGACTTTGCATCAGACTCGCAGTATCTGTATGTGTTTGACGGAAAAGCAGCAGTGAGAATATGGAATGTAAAGAGCAGGATGCAGGAAGGATTGCTAAGGACATCAGATCCTGTCTCACTTAAGATAATGAACAGCATGGTGTTTATAGCAGAAAGAGACAAGATACTGAAAGTTTACAAAGACCAGAAGCAGGTTCTAAAGCTGAAAGTCAACGAGGAACTGAGTGGCTTGATGATAGTGAGTCCAAATGGGAAGTTTGTGTACATGGTCGTGAACAGAAATCAGATCCTTGTGATCGATGTGCATGCAGAAACATCGTATCTCACTTCTACGAATGAGGAGCGGCTTTTGGCAATTGCAGTTTCACAAGAAAGCATGTTGGCCTCAATAGGAGGATATGGAAAGATCGCAGGACTGTATAAAATAAAGCCCGAAAAGCCATCGTGCAGACTTCAGGACACTATTGAGCAGAACGGGCCTGTCCTAGCTCTTGAGTTTATTGGCTCCCATTTGCTCGTTGGCCAGCCTGAAGGATTCATGATATGGGATCTGAATGAAAAAAAAAACATGCAGGTTGAGATTTACGAATCAAACGTGATAAATTTATCTGCTGGCAAAGGATGCTTTACAACAATCGATAACAACGGGATCTTACGCATATGGATGCACACACCGATCAGCTGATTGGCTATATATAAGCATGCAATTATAATAAACGCACTGATTGTTTGTTTTATTCTTTTATTTAGCGTACTATGTAGCGTTATTGTAGTTTGTAGATGTACTCTCGTATGTCTGAAATCCAAGAGTCTCTTTCTTTTTTACAGGTGGTGTATAGCTCTATGCTTTCCTTCGACTTCTCAAGTCGGAATCCGTTGCTGTCTATTGGAACAACACTGCATCCACTTAGTAGCAGAATCTTAAACACCTTGTTCTTTTCGTAGCATATAAGAGCTTTGCCAACAAACTTGAAGGCATATGCCCTCCATCCGTTGCTGTCCATCAGCAGATATGATGATCGCTGCTCTTGTGTATCAACTATTCCCGAAAGAATAAATGATTGCATCTGTTTGTTCATACTTCTTGAGTTCAGTGTTGCCTGTATGATCCTGTCCCTTACTGCCCTGCTCTGGGGCGAATGTGCATTTGCGATTGTCGAGCATTCAATCTCAGGAACAACATCCAAAATCTCTCCGATCAATTTACAGACGCACCAGCTAACATCAGACTCAATCAAAATGTAGTATTGTGTTGTTTCAGCCATGCCTTCGTAGTTCAGCACCGTATTGAGAATTTTAATCCGGGGATGGACAGTAAGCCTCTTTCCCGGAGCATACAGCTGCAGCGGCGGTTCATCCAATCCTTTTTCTTTGCGTATTCCCACAGAATCCCTTGATTCTCCAGATGAACTGCTATCCGTATCTGCTTTCAGCCCATACATCGACTTCACATACATCACATCTATAGGTGCAAACGTAGGCGAGCCAGCCCTACATTCTGCTGATGGCAGCAATTGCCTCTGACTGCCTGCACACATCTGTGGGCGGTTCATACTCAAGCTCGCATGTGGTTTCTGTCCAATCGGTCTCTCATGTGCTGAAAACACTCTGCTACTTAGCAACGATCCGCCAGTCATCATGCTAGACATCCCAGACATGTCCATCCCATCAATAGACACTGCCGATGTGTTTCGCCCAAAACTCAGCGTGCCATTCAATGATGTTTCCTTGTTGAACATCGAGCTGTCAACAACAGACTTGACATATCCTGCTCGTGGCCTGCATTCAATGTTTGTACCACTCTCGCACATGCTTACACATGACCTGCTTGGCTCAGCCACGGGCTTCTTGTACAGATCAATCCCTAGCACGCTAGGCTTGCTCTCCTTGGAAATTCCGCTCACTGTAAAGCTACTCGATCCTGTTCTCCAAGGTATCACTCCTCCAACAAACCCGTCTCTTTGCTTCAAACTACTTACTTCTCCGCTTTTGACTGTTTGAACACCACATTCAGATCTCGATGCCTCTGAATCGCTCTCATTCATATCATTTCCAAAATAACTTCTTGGCGGCTTCAGCCTCACATTATTGTTAAACACAAATCCACTTCCTGCACATGCCCTTGATTTGAACTCCTCATTGATCCTCCTCAGCTTCTCATCCATCGATCCTATTGGTATTGCTCGTCGCACCTTAAACCCGTCAGATATGCTGCTTTTGCTCAATGATGCGTCGGAGTCAGAAGCCTCCGTCATGTTTATGGGCTTGGAATATTACACAATCTTCAATATGCATGATTTGAGAAATAAATCAGCAGAGCAAAGATCAATCAACATAAACACCAGCAATCGCTTTATTGCTTCCACTCGTCGGGTAGCAGCTTGCATACATCCTCAATAGTGTTTGTATCCATCGTTCGCTCATACACCTCCTGGCACAGCTCTTCAAATATCTCCCGTGTGCTATTATCAATCACCATGCTTGCTATAGAACTCTGTAGATATTCAATTGCTGCTTCCTCATCGCAGCCAAGTAGATAGAGGTACCTGTGCTTCCTTATAAGCAGCTTACAGAGATGACATATCTCATGTGTGCTTGCCTTCATAAGATTGAATACCCATATGTCGTTCATCCGAGTGTCCCCTTTCTCAGGCACATTTCCTCCAAACACATAGAAACTCCCGTTGCACTCGACAAACTGGTGTGCCGATCTCACAGATGGCTTGATCTTTACTCCACCTTCTATCCCAGGCTTCTCAACAACCTTCGTCCACACTCTCCTCAAAAGAGAATATGTATACACTTCCATCTCTTCAAGCTTATCTTCCTTATCTCTTCCGTAGCAGAACAGCACAACTATCTGCCCTTGGTATAGCAAGCTGCGCTGGACCACCTTTCCATCTCCTTTTATTGGAAACATCACTCGATCAAAAACCGTGTCTGTGTCAAGCTTATAGAACTCCATTTCCTTGATAGACTCCTTGCCCCTCTGCCCACCAACAATCACAATGCTATTATTGTATATGCTTCCCTCTACATATTCTTGTGGAATGTACAGCATTGCATGCCCCATTCTTGACCTCAGTGCCGGGGTGTTTTCAGGTTGCTGTGCATCCGATCGTACCATTCTCCACCCACTATGCATATTCAATGCGTTGTATTCATTGCTGCTCATGCTATCCCTGCTGTGCATGCTGGTGCAGTTGCTATGCCCGGCATTTGCTACAGGCTCAGCACAGCTTGAAGCATTGCACTCATACAGACTCGGCATTTCCATGTGTGCATCAGTTGTATTTGCTCCAGTGCTAATGACTGGCTGGGTATCAAGGCAAAGCACATAAAGCCCTGAATATGTGTCTTCACGCTCCGTAGATTTGCCTCCAAAAACACAAAGCATGTGCCCTGCAACAACCATCTGGTGGTCATATATATTCCCAGGCCCCTGCTCATCATATGCTGCAACCGGCCGCCACTCTCCATTATAAACCCAAAGATTGTTTTTTGTTGGGCATTCCTTGCGCGAGGACAATGGAATGTACTTTCCTGTCAGGTACAGCTTTGAGTTGTGTGCCACCATTCTATGGCAGCTTCTCCTTCCTGGGCATATCACCCCAGACGACAGCTGCTCCCATGTGCCATTTGTGTATTTCCAGAAGTCTTCAAGCTCATGCGTTCCGTTCCATCCGCCATGAAGATATATGCTGCCGTCCATCTCAACCATTTGATGGCCTCCTCGCTCGCAAGGCCACACATCTTTCTTTGGTATCTCAGCCCACACAAGAGCATATGCAGAGTTGTCTATGAACTCTTGGAATACCGATGGATCCAAAGATTCTATAAATGCTTCTGCCTCGTCATGCATATTCTGCTCAAGAAGACTACGTATTTTCTTGGCTGCACTTCCCTTGGATTTATGTCCACATCTACTTTCCAACTCTTTGTATATGTCTCTGAATCCATTGTCCCTTAAGAATGCCAGGCAGCGCCTTAGTGTGCGCTGGAATACCACTTGCTGGTTGTAGTTAGCAAGTGTGTCTATATCTGTGATACCTCTGAGCTCTACAAACCACAAAGAGTAGTTGAAGTTGATGCCCCAGGCTGCAAGAGGCTCGATCTTTATGTACCTTGCAATCATGTAGATGTCGTCCAAAATCTTGAGGTTGAATGTTTCCATTTCTGTATCGTTCCGAAGTCCGCCATAGAACACTTCTCTGTACCGAAGTCCATCTTCGGATATGCTTATCTTCATTTTCTTGATGTTGCACACATGCATTTTGGTGTACTTTCCGAAAGTACATGTTGCAGCAATGCATGGCGGAACACGTAGCACGATGTACTGATGATGATCGTTTGAGGTGGTGGACCATCTTGAGTTTGGATCTGTCGGGTCGTTTTTCTTGATGTTTTCAGGAGCATATATTGATGCATATGTCGAGTAGTCGTGGATTTCATATGGAATCGGTGTATATGCATTTCTATTGTCAAGCATCCTGGGCATTGGAATGTTTTGATGCAATGGCATTTGAAGCAGTGCATGAACGCATAATGTTTGATCAAATTATTTGTTTGTACGATCCAACATGCAGGGATGCTTTTGCAGGAAGCAGCCAATGCCGTTTATTTAGCGACTGGATCGACCGAGTTGTGGATGAAATCAAGTTGATGATGAATAGAACTTGAGAAAGGCAAAGGCACATATAATGCATGTGTTTTTTTATCCCATGGATTCTGAATCGTATAGAGAAGAAGATCATATGCAACCAGGAAGCAGAGGAAACAGGAATGTGGATGGCAAAGATGTGGGAAGGAGGCTTTTGTGGGCAAGCCGAAGCAGTTTAGACAGACCGGCTCGAAAGGAAAAAGGAAGCAGTCTGAATAAGAAAGATGCAATAAGCACGAGAGAGAAGATTGCAGCAGATGCAGAGAGCGTGGGCAAGTCTATGAATGCTTCTGTAAGCAGTACAACGGTAGAAGATGTGCAGAGGAGTGTAAGGATGCCTGGAGTGATTGAGATTGTTGACCAAGGAAACAGGGTGAAGATGAATGAGGATGTAAGGACACTGGAGTCCTTCCGAGATCTTTCGTCTAAGTTTCTTTCGAAGGCTCTTGAGAAGGAGTACACACAGCCCACGATTATACAGAAGTATTGCATTCCGTCGATATCTGAAGGAAGGAATTTGCTATGCAGAGCGCCTACAGGGATGGGGAAAACAATGTGTTTTCTTATTCCAATTATTGAAAGGCTTGAGAAGTGTAATAAGCCGCAGGCATGCATTGTGTCGCCAACAAGAGAGCTGTGTGAGCAGATTCGTGTTGAGGCGTCACGGCTGGTTGGCAATACCAGCATCCGAGTGGTATCGATATATGGCAAGAAGCATGATCTGCCGAGCTACTATGGAGTTGATATTGTTGTTGCAACGCCAGGTAGGCTAATAGACTTGCTACAAAGGAAGAAGATAGACTTTTCTGGAGTCAGGATGCTGGTGTTTGATGAAGCAGACAAGCTGCTTGACATGGGGTTTGAGGTATCTACAAGAGAGATACATGGATATGTTCCACAGGGAGTGCAAGTATGTCTTTTTAGTGCGACTTATTCGGCAAAGCTCACTAGGATGATAAACTACTTTTTGCCTGGAGACAAGGTGTCTATTGAGATGGTTTCCGAGACGCTGAGGAACATCAAGCAGGAGATCGTAGAGGTTGGCAGCAAGGACGAGAGGCTTGTGAAGATCCTGAGCAGCCCAGAGATCAATTTTGAAAGAACATCGTGGAGAACAGATGCACGGCCGGACAAGGTGCTTATATTTGTCGAGAGAAAGGCATCATGTGCAGATGTAGAGAAGTATCTGAAGCGCCGAGGGTTTCAGTGTGTGTCTTTGCACGGAGACAAGGAGCAGGCAGAACGGAACGCCGCTCTGCAAGGCTTCCGTGATGGCAGGTATCCTGTACTGATTGCAACATCGATTGCAGCAAGGGGAATTGATGTCAAGGACATAAAGCTTGTGATAAACTATGACATTCCGAAGGACATTAAGGAGTACATACACAGAATAGGCCGCACTGGACGAGAGGGAAAGGCAGGAAAGTCGATTTCTTTCTACGACAAGAGCGTGTCGAATGAGTTTAGGAGTGCACTGATTGAGATTCTGAAGGAGTCGGGCAATGAAGTGCCGAGATTTTTAGAGGGGGCTTCTCCATCGGAAGACTTTGATGCAATGATCAACAGGCTGAAAGTCAGTGCAGATAAGGAAGTATCTGAAGACGAGACTATTGGGCTGTGGGGATGATGCAATATGAACAAATAAAGAGATTATGCTTGATAAAGAAATCTATTTGAAATTGAGATGCTTTGCTCTGCAATGACATTATTTTTTGAAGCTGATGTGAATTCTTGTTTAGGCACCAATGCGTTATTTGTACTAACTGTTCGTTATGAGTGCGAGACTAGAGGATGAATATGTGTTTATTTTTTGCAAAATGCAAGTCCATGTGCCTGTGGACAGAGAAGTATAGACCCAAGACACTTGATACGTTTGAAGGGCCTGAACATTTGAAGGCGATGCTGAGGAGCTCAAATGAGAGGGGACATCCGAATCTTCTTCTGTATGGACCGCCTGGGACAGGGAAAACAACGTTTGCACACTTGCTTGCAAACAAAAAGCTGGAGCTGAATGCATCTGACGAGAGAGGAATCTCGGTGATCAGAGAAAAGATAAAGGCATATGCATGCACACTTGATTGCGACAAGACTGTTATTTTGGACGAGTGTGAGAATCTTACGTCTGATGCACAGCATTGCCTGAGGAGGGTGATTGAGGATGCAAAGAACACAAGGTTTATATTCATTACGAACTATCGATCTCGGGTGATTGGGCCGCTGCGAAGCAGACTTGTGAGTGTGAGGTTTATGCTGACTGAGAATCGAATCCTTGAGTCGATTGGAAAAGCCGAGGGATTGATACATGATGCAGACTGGTACAGAAGGCTATTTATGGCATGTGGGAATGATCTCAGGAGATCGATTAATGTTCTTCAAGGGGCAGCGCCACTGAAGGATGTGTGCATTGAGGAGGCAGTAGGGATTATTCCCGATGAAGTGGTTGATGGGTTCTGGAAGACTGGTAAGTCAGAGATGCATATATATGTGAAGATGTGCCTGAGGGAGGGATACTCGGCTCTTCAGCTTATCAGACAGATATCTGGAACAGTAATGGGGAGCGATAAGCAATGTGCTGAGTTTGGAATGCAATTGGCAATGCTTGAGTCCAAGTCGGTTGCAGGATGCTCCGATGAGCTTGTTCTGTATAATCTATTGTGTGCAAAGAATGAGATTTCTGGTAAATAAAGGTATATACTGAAAAAGACACATGCGTATCTGTAGTTGAAGGGATGCATGAAAAGCTTGCACAGTATAGGCTTTCAAAGGTTTATTATTGCTGCAGTGTGATTTTGCTTTCGTCCAGGATTTTTATTAGTCGCTCGTAGTATGCCCATTTGCTCAAATGCTCAGCATTTGAATGGTTGAGCTTGCACTGCTCGATTCTTTGCAATAGATCGTTTCTGATGGCCTGTTCTTGGTGATTGCTTGTGATGCTAGATATTGCATCTTCATAGTCAAGCATCTCGATGAGGAACTCCTGACTAACAGGCGATGGCTCGATACAGCTTAGATGCTTTGCGCGTGAAAAGTCGTCTTTTAGAATGCTGTATGCCTTGTTAATTTCGTCCATGTGTGCCTGTGCTGTACAAGAGTTGCCTTGTACGTCAGGATGGAACTTTTTGGAGAGCTCGTGGTACTGCTTTTTGAGTGCATGCTGGTCTATGCTGAATATAGGCTGCATGCCAAACACATCAAAGTGTTTTGAAGGCGATGCCATGCACTTGAGGGGCGAGAAGATCAGTGAATCGTAGATGCTCAATATGTGTTGTGTGCAGTGCCCTTGTATGGGAGTGCTGGGAAGTAAGAGAAGCAAGAAGCCAATCGACAATAGCAAGCATGTGCAGCCAAGCAAAAGTACCAGTAATGCGACTAAGGAGCTTGCTGTGAAACAGAAAAACAGAAAGGGATCGAATGCAGATCGAGCGCAGCAAGCAGAAAAAAGCAGCGGATCTAAAGGGATAGTTTTGAAAAGAAGACCGTGCCCGATTAGAGACAATGTGTTTCCTGATGCTAGCAAGCTCGAGAAGGAGTTGTTGATGAATGGAACAAAGACGGACAAGATCGATGTTCTTACGCTGATGGTTGAACGAAACCCGTCGCCGGAGAACTTCAAAGGGCTGCTTGCATTCTGTGAAAACCAGAGGAATGATGTTCATTACCACGTGCTCAAGAACATTAGAGACATTCTTGTGTCAAAGAAGAAAGTCGACGACTTCTACATCAAGCAGAGGATAGTAAGGTCGTTTGATGTGAACCTACGGAACGAATACATTAAGAAGAAGGTGCTGCGGCTGGTTGTTGATCTGCTGAAGAAGAATATTCTGTTTATTGATCTGATTCATCTATTTGTCAACAAGCTCGGAGACAAAAAGGAAATTTCTGAATATGTGGTTGATGAGCTAAGCGAGCTGGTTCCTGGGCACGAGGAGGTGGTTATTGATGTGTTGGAGGATTTCTATTTCAAGAACGATCTTTTCCGCTCAAGACACACCTTTCTAAGGTTTGTTGCAAGGCTTGACTTTGAGAACAAGAAGAAGGCGTTTGGACTGTTTAATGTTATTTTGAAAGACTTTTGCCAGAGTATGCCTGAAGAGCATAGGAATATACTGCTTGAGGACATAATTGTTGGGCTTGGAAAGAATATAGAAAATGAGCAGATAGGCAATGTGGAGATAGTGAGACGAGCGGTTCATACGGAAAAGATGATTTTCTATGCAGGCAAAATATTGCTGAGAATTAAGGATGCCCGAGTTGTGGAGTTTTTCAAGGAAGCAATAAAGTCGCACAAGATGAGGGATTCTAAGCGGATGCCAGGGTTTATTAATATGGTGCATGAAGCGGTTATGAGAAGCAGGGATGTTGAGTTCTGTGAGTTTCTGGTTGATTTCTGCCTTATGTACACGCCGGAGTATATTGTTTCTGTGCTTCTAATGTGCTCTGAGGCAAGGAAGTTCAAGATGAAGGGATTCGACAACATGCACGTGCTGAGGATTCTTGCACTGCATCAGAACGATGTTGTTAGAAAGCTTGCATTGCAGCTGATTGGAGGCGAGGTGGTTTATGCTTTTGATCCATTTGACAAGATAAGCTTTACAAGTGCAGAAATGATGTGCCTTGATCTTTAAGCACACGGTTAATCGAATGAAATAAATTGAATGGCAATACGTTTATTAGTGAGAATGCCTGGAATGCATTGATGGATTATACCTGCAGTGCTCAATCAATTGGCTGTACCAGTTGGCTTACTTAACAGCATGCCAGCATATAATGTCACAGATAATATCGGCATGCAATTGGTTTCCAGCAAATGCAATCTGTAGAAATCAAGGCGCAGCATGCAAATGCAATCCAATGATAACGGTGAGTAGAAATAGAAAATGTACGGCTCCATTTGCATCCATATGGAAATTCATCAGCATGCTGTATTACAGATACACACTAGAAATGGGAATATGCATACTTGAATGGTGGGAAGTGGTCCTGGTCAACACATACTTTCTTCTGTTAACATCCTCGTTCATCAAGCAAATGATAAAAGTCACAAAATATGCATCTAAGATGCTTCTTAGGCTGTTAAGTGTCTTCAAATCGAAGATGCATGTGCATTCAAGCAATACCACCATCTCTTCTACTTAATAAACACCACTGCACATTACATTCTCCCAATCTCCTTCAGAATCGAAAACACAAATGGCTGGAATGAATGGTTGGTGTTGAGCATCTCTAGCATCCGGATCGTGTAATCATTTTCCCCTACTCCGATCATTGTTCTGATCATGCTTCCAAGCTGCGCCTCCACATAGTCCGTTGTCTTCTTCATCCTGCACGCTGCCTTTATGGTCTTTTTTACAGCAATTCCCATTTCTCTCTTGTCATTTGCCGCATATGCCACAAGAAACTCGTTCTCAAGACATTCCAGGCTTTCGTCACGATCTTCGGCCATATCGGTGTCTTTAGACCACACCGTGTTATATTTCGGAGTCTTAGAAAACCACACTCTGCACTTCTTCGAAAAAAAATACTCCTCTTCACCAAACACAGCAACAAGAAAGTATTTCCTATCCAACCGCAGAGATGCAAACATGTCGAGTCTTGGAAGCACCCCGCTCAGATATGCTTTGCGCTTGTGCATCGAGAACACTGTAAACGTCCCATCAGACTGCAGGTAAAGCACATCGTTCCTAAGTATATCCACCATCACAACATCATGCGAGCATATAAATGGTATTGCCAGCACGCCTGTCCTCAGATCATACAGTCGGATGCATCCAGTGTACACACAGATATACTTCTTAGTAGCACACACCAACTCTATTCTCCCATGTATTCTGTAAAACTCAATCCCTCCTCGCTTAACACACACACTGCTCCTGTCTGCATTCAACTCAATACTAAAATCTCCAAATACTCGTGACAGGGTCTGGCATACAGTCTTCTCAATCATCCTCTTGCTTGTATAATTAAACATCACCAGGAACGAATGATCAGTGTGCATCTCTACACCATTCAATGCCGGCTCTCCATCCACAGATTTGCTCAGCACCAGCACTGGCCTTACTGTCTTCTTCTTCTGCTCAGGATGCTTGTCTTCGGTGCATGGCGAGGTTTTGGAAAGCATCTCCTTACATTCTATCGAAAACAAGATTCCTTCATCCTCTTCATCTACTCCTTCGCTTATGCTTCCGAGCTCTCCCTCATCAATATCAATCCTCACTACCTCTCCATTGTATGAGCACACATACAACTTTGTTCCTTCATTGTTCCAGCACATGTCTAGTACAGGCAACTTTGTCAGGTTCTTGATCAGTACAAATGGCTTCACAGATAGCGATGTCCACAGCGACAAGCTCAAGTCCTGAGAAGACACCGCCATCACATAGTATCTTTTGTTTGCCATATACACCTTTGGATTGAAAGCAACGGCCTCGCAAGGCGCTGCATGCCCAATAAGCGAGCACTCACTCTTCAGTTCGCAATCAAACACCTCCACACTATTGCACTTCGTGTTGAACGACAACCCTGATGCAAAGAGCCTGCCGTCTGGCGAGCATCCCATTCTCGAAAAAAACGACTCAAGAATCATCTCCTTCGATGCATCCATCTTCTTGATAGCCTCGTAGTCTTTGTATACAACAAGACCATCCTCTCCCTGTGTGCACATGTACTTGTAGTTCTTATCAATGCAAATTCCCTTTATCTGTCCTTCGTGCGAATGCATTTTCTTGGCAACACAGAGCGCCTTCAAGTCGTAAAGCACAACCCATCCATCATATCCCACACTAACCAGAAATCTATCTGTCCACATCACATTGCTCACATCACTCTCATGCTCAGATGCAGAATACACAACATCGCCATCGCTTGTATACACAAAAACCATTCCGTCATCTCCTCCAGACGCAAGAAACCTCCCATCTTCATTAAATCGGATGCAAAGCACCGCACCGGTATGCTTCTTGATTGTCTTGGTCAGCCTGCATTCGGCATCCCATATATTGACCTCGCCCTCTAGCGAGCACGTGGCAATCATAGTGCCATACACATCTATCGAAAAAATAGGCTTGGCCCTCTTTGCCCCATGCCTAATCGCCATCTCAACTATCCTCATCAGGTTCGGGGCTATCCCTCCCAAACATTCACTATCGTCACTAAACACACAAAATAACGCCGAAGCTAAAGTTTAATAGCACATAACATCCATGCACTCAAATCATCAAGTCATACATCTCTTCATTCACGAGATACCTTCTTGCTGCTTGCTGCAATCTCTCCAGGCACAATACTCGACTTCATTCCGCCGTTCTTTATCAACCAGTCATGCCCAATAAAATGCAACTCAGTGTCATTGTAGATTGCATTGTTAATGTGCTTCGGCATAATCTTTTTCTTCCCATCGGTGTTTGCTACATTCCTTGCTCCGTCAGTAATCTCTCCAATCAGGTATATCACACATGCTCCAACTGCAACAAGTGCATCCTTCGATATCCTCATCCGGGTCCTGTCCTTCATAATCTTCTTTATCTGGCTCAGCTTCATCACGCTCTTATGATGCTCTTCATCCTTCCCCATCACTCTTGGATCTGCTTTCCCTCCTTTTCCCTGCGCCATTCCTCAGGGCCTTTCTTTTTGTTTATATATTTTCCATTTGGAGGGAAATCCTCATTTGGAGGGAATCATCAGCATTCCTTTCGAATCAATATCAGTTTATTCGTACATCGCATCCCCGTCACCAGCACATATCACGGCATATCATGTATGCTCATTAACAACATCAAAGTATTTATTCATCCACAAACACATCAAGCCGTTCTTCTTCCACTCCGTACCTTGCCTTCCTGTTCGTTCAATATTATTCATGTGATAATGTTACTCCATTTGCACACATGTCCATCACTTATCGTCTCCTCCACCAACACTAACCTTCCTTCTTTTACTTTCTTCAGGTTGCTCCTTCGGCTTTCCATAGTACATTCGTAGAAACTCCTGCACATCCTTCTTCTTCAGACTGTGTACCTCAATGCTCATTCCATCAGGCCTTCCTTCATACTCATTTATAAACTCAACAAAGTCCTTGACCTGCTGATCCACAAACACCTTCTTCCCCTTGACAGGAATAGTGTCAATTGCAATAAAAAACACAGTGCATCTTCTTATTTCCTTTGCACATGCATTTGCACACACACTTGGAATCCTTTCTCCAGAAATCTCAAATGCCTTTGGAAACGGTATTGCATACAAAATGTCGTCCACGGCCTCAAACTTAGATGCAAGAATCCGGATCTTCGACTCAACGTATCCCTCCCACTTCTGGAATCCTTCATTCTCTACACCAACAGAAATCGCCATCACCTCTATAAAAAGCTTATACTTGCTGAAAAAATCAGACAGCTCAAATATCTTCCTGAAACAGCTCTTCTTCATTTCAAGCCTCTCGCTCGTGCTCTTCTCTTGTTCATTCTTCTTGCTGTCGCTTTTTTCAAGCATGCACAGAATCTCATTTGCCCTTGCAAATTCAACTGTAATCGCATGCTGCGTACTGTTGGATACATTGTGCGTAGCACACATCGAAGGATATGCAGGCGTAATCACCGGCATCCTGTGATACTTGTCAGAAGGGTGGATCTTCGGGTCCCATACCTTCAGGTTGAAGTTCAGATCAACCACCGGGCGCAAAATAACAGGCATCGGCCACTTCCACGACGAAAACAGCTCAAAAAACTTGCAGACTATTACAAACGAGCTTACATTCGGATATAGCTGGCACACTCGTGCAACACACAGCGAAAACGCAACTCCTCCAAAGTACCCATACGAATTCCCATACACACATCTTCTCTTTGCCCAATATTTAATACACCTCAGTGCAGAATGGAACACCTTCACATTCGGAACAAGGCTCAGCATCTCGTCCGTAACCCTGGATCCATTCAGCGACAGGATGCACTTCTCATCCATATTCTTCAGAAGCGTGTCATTCAACAGATTAATTCCCTCCTTCACCACAGGAACATTAAGCCGAGCAAACACTAAATCAATCGGAATCCCTTGAAACTTGAATTTAATTATTGGTACAAATGCTTCCTCTATCTTTGTAGCCTCCTCTATGCCTGGATTATTCCTCAACTCTTCGTAAAAATGCACGAAAAAGTCGCTTCTGCTTACGTGCCTAGGAACAATGCACAAGGCATCAATGTCTGCCCCCTTGCTGTGCACTCCCAACCTGTAGCTGCCAAAAGTAAATATCTTTCCTCCACATGGCTTTTCTCCTTCCATGCCTCCTTTGCTTTTTGCCATCCTAGCCACAAACTCTTTCACCATGAAGTTCAATCTGCCAAGGACTCTTTCCCTAGTCTGCCCCTCGGACTCATCCTCAAAGAATCCGCACTCCTCCAGATATCTGTCCATTTCTGCAGACATCCCATGTTCTTCCTCTGTGCTTTCCTTTATCGACAATGGCCCAGTCACCCCATACTTGTAGTTCTTCTCGGACATTTCCATCGCTATTGATCTTGGGGATCATTCTTTGTGTATTTTCAAGCATAGCACAATCACACTTTGCAGCCTGATCAACAAGCTAGCATTAAATCCATATCGCATTTCCGCAAGCATATTCCTGCTCTGCATACAAACAAGCCCAAAGCATTCGGTCTTCATTGCACACAGCATCCACTATCTACTCCATTCTTACAAATAAACGCAACAGTACTCAAAAACTAAACACATTTAATATCCTCCTCTCAATCTAAGAACCAAATGAAGCGTGGACTCCTTCTGAATGTTGTAGTCAGACAGGGACCTTCCATCCTCAAGCTGCTTCCCTGCAAAAATCAGTCGTTGCTGATCCGGTGGAATGCCTTCTTTGTCCTGGATCTTTGTCTTTACGGTTTCAATTGTATCATGAGCGTCCACCTCCAGAGTTATGGTCTTTCCAGTCAGAGTCTTCACGAAGATCTGCATTTGTTTGGGGTGCACAAACAATCATTTTATACCTTGAAACACCAATCAATCACGCAGTGCTGATGCAGCTATTCTTCTCCAAACCTACTGTTTCGACCACAGATATCCACCACTCCAACCGGCTGTGTGCGAAGATGTGTTTTTGTGTGTAGCGAGCAGCAGCATTGTGCAATCATAGCAAGCTGAGCGTGGTAATCAGAACACACGCAATGCACGTCTGCAGATTCTTCAACCATTCAGCATGTGCTTGCATCAGCAGTGATTAATCCAAAAAAAAATTGCCCTCACATGGTCCTTGGAAAGCCCACAATAATACCGGTTGAGAAAGCCAAACTGACAGAGCAGGAGAAGATGGAGAGGGAGATACTTATAAAGAAGAAGATAAACAAGCTTGCAAACGCAATCAGGATTCCGCCAGCAATCAACCAATTCAAGACGTTTTTGTCTGAGCACGACACGAAGAAGGTAGTTGACCTGTTTATGAAGTACAGGCCTGAGAACAAGGCTGAGAAGAAAGCAAGGCTGGAGTCTGAAGATCCAAAAAAGGGGCCAAGGCCGATTCTTGTGAAGTTTGGGCTGAAGCATGTGACTGACCTGGTGGAGACAAAGAAGGCAAAGCTTGTTCTTATATCAGCATCTGTTGATCCTATTGAGGTTGTCTTGTTTCTTCCAACGCTTTGCAAGAAGATGGGCATTCCATATGCAATAGTCGAGAGTTCAGTGATTCTCGGAAAGCTTGTGAACCTGAAGACTACATCGTGTGCATGCCTATGCGAAGTGCGGGCTGAGGATAGCAAAACATTCGATGATATTGTGACGATGTCGAATGCGATTTTCTTCAATGAGTACGAAAAGCACATGAAAACATGGGGGGGGGGTAATGCATCATTGAAGCAACAGCCTCAGAATGATTGAAGAAATAAAATTGCTTCTTTAATACCTGATGATTTCTGCATACATGTATTGCGTAATGGCAAGCAAGCGATAATGCAATAATAAATACATCGAATGCAATTCTGCTGCGACTAGCATTGTTACTTACTTGAATTGCATCTCTTACTGAAAGCATACATTAAGTCTCCATAATGATTTATTGCATAGAGATCACTCCTCGCGTATTAAAAGGACCGGTAGTGATAGAATCAAAAACACTATGGCCTTTATTCCAGGCACATGGTTAATCCACAGGTTTAGACATCCAAAGTAAGGTACATATCCAACAACAACACTTTTGATTTCATCTGCTGTCAGGTAACTTCTTCCTCTTGGATACAGAGAAACATCATCGCTGATGTTGTTGTCGCCCTTTGTAAGATATCTTTCGCCGAACTGCTTGATGCATCGATGGACACACGGAATTTCTTCGTTGCTGAACTTGAACACCACCATGTCACCAACACCAAACCTCTTTTCTGCAAGCCAGAGAATGTCTCCTCTCTCAAATCCAGGCGCCATACTTTCACTCAGCACAACAACTATCGGGCTATCATTGTTTAGGAGTACAGAAATTAGCTTCCAGATCATGTACGTGCCACTTATTGAATACACTGCATTCACAAGCTGTATCAGCAACTGCCTGATTCCCATCCTCTTCAGCTCCAGCAGGTCCTTTCTCGAAATAAAACATTCCAGCATCAGGGCTCTGTGCATTATGTATTTCCCATCATATTTACCCCAGAAATAACACTAGATCTAAAGTCATCATATATCCGAAGCAGTGGCATTATTCATCCTCCAACACTGTATGTACAATCACATATAAGGCTATATTCAATGTTCCTTTACATCTATTGCAGCATATTCAATTGATTGGCCACTCTTAACCAGCCCAATTTGCAAATAGGTACCGTGCCTCCAGATGCACAGCAATTATTCCCATCAATACACAATCAACACCAGTAAATCATAGAATAGTTTATTCCTAGCCTGCATGCCCCTCATGCATTGCGCACCTTGAAGTTGCCTCCATATCCATGCTTTCTTAACATGTCCATGGTTGTCTCATCGACCTCCATGCAATCCACATCAAGAATAGACACCTTCGGAACCACACTCTCCTTCCTTTCCCTCTCCATCTCGTGGCTCTTCACATACACCTTCGGATACATCCCCTTCAATATCCTCCTGTATATCGACGTCAGATACCCCGCAATCTCATTCTTCAGTTTCTTCGACTTTACTACCGCAACCTCCTGCACAACAAGCACATTGTGGTCAAAAGTGTTGTCAAGCCTTTCAAAATACTTCTCTGCAATCGTCTTCGCTGCTCTCTTCACTACTTTGTTCCTGACACAGCCCTAGAATTAAAATACCTCACTTACCATTCTTGGGGTAAAAAAAATTGCCGTTCATATTCTACTGCTTATACTCCGGACGCAGCTCATACATGTTCTTCAAGTCCTTCTTATTCAGCACGCAGATGTCCGAAACAATCTCTTGAATAAATGCAACAGGCTGTCCGCAGAAATCCGCAAGATCCTTCACCGTCCACGACGAATACTTCTCAAATGCCTTGAATACCAAATCAATCACCTCGCTTTTACCAAGCCTTTCTCGTTTCTTATCCATCAGCATCTTCTTCCTCTTCCTCGCAAGATACTCCAGCTCTCTCAGACTCCCAAACTTCTCTCCCCTCTTTCCTTCCCTAAGATAATCAATCACCTGGATATCGCCTTTCTTTGTATCGCACAGAAATCCTGTCTGCTTCTTATACTCCAGATATTCGGTGCTAATTACAGGCGTTATGTAGCATTCGTTGTTGATTATGCCTTCAACTTCTGCATTGTTTTCGTATGTCTTTACAACATACATGTTGTTTTCCTTAGGCTTGATTTTCACATCAAATGCAGACGGAAAGCCTCCCGAGCAAAATTCTTTAGAAAGTCGGAGACTCAATACGGCTGCTTCTGTCTGCGTTGCCTTTGATATGTCAAGCTCGCCTATCGATACTTCTTCGTTGCTGCTTAAGATCCGTTCTGCAAGAAACAGTGGAAGCTTCGCAAGCCATATTTTTGTGTTCTTATTGTTTGTGTTCAATTCCATACTAGGGCTGCCAGGATAAGCCAAACCACTCAGCGATTACACAAATGCAGCCGGCTTGAAACATGCCAGCCGGCTTCACACATGAACCGTGCATATTCATCTGTAATGCTGTGCATACCACCATTCCCTTTCATTATGTATGTCCCTGCTTGGCATGCATGTGTGCTGCATATATTATCCTCATGTGGTTGAGGATGTGGAGCTTAATATGGCCTGAAAAATTTATCCCCGATGAGGATTCTTGTCACAAAGATGGTGAAGATTCCAGAAAACTGCATTGTGCAGCAGAAGGGGAAGGTGTTTATGTTCCAAGGGCCAAAAGGAGTGGTAGAAGAGGATTGCACCCGGCACATGCTTACATTTGACATATATGAAGGATGCATTAGAATCAGGCTTTGGAATGCAAACAAGAAAGCAGCAGCATTTGCAACAACGGTTGAGTCGTTGCTGAGAAACTGCATCAAGGCAGTCACTGTTGGGTTTGCATTCACGATGAAGGCAGTGTACAACCACTTTTCGATCAATCTTGAAGTTCAGGAGAACGGAAGGGTGCTACTTGTGAAGAATTTCCTTGGAGAAAAGAACATTAAGAAATTCACAATGCGAGGTGTGGCAAAAGTCAAGCTTGGAGATGCAAAGGACACGCTTGTGATTGAAGGACCATCGCTTCCAGATGTTTCTCAAAGTGCAGGTACGATCACCAACATCTGCAAGGCAAAAAACAGAGACAGTAGAATCTTCCTTGACGGGATATTCGTGATCGAAAAAGGCGTTATGGCTTAATAAAAGAAATGCCTTTATTTTATTGATAATTAACATGCTATGCTGCAATGCCACTTCTCTCCAATTCCGCATTGGCATATCCATTAGATGTGCTGATGCATGCATCATCCTCTCGTTTGCCGTGCTTCTTTCAGTAATGTATTGATCCACTCTCCGCTCATATCAAATACTTCTCACTACTATTGCACTCTACGCCATACTCG